GATTCTCTCGTTCCTATCATCAACGGGAAAAAATACGGAACTAAAGAATACAACCAAAGAAATTGAAGTTAAATACTGAAATAGAAAGGTGTTAGAAATAATATAATGATGCAAGTGCAATGAAACCACTATAGGAAACGCAAAAAAGAGCAGAGCAGTTTCCTCTGGTGGTTTCACTGCACTTGTATCATGATTTTATGTATTTCTAAACCAGTATTTAACTTCAGTTTCTTTGGTTGTATCCTTTAGCTCCGTATTATTCCCACTGATGATAGGAACGAGAAAATCGATTCTGGGTTTCAATAATGAAAGATTCCGGAGGAGGAAGGAGGAAACTGTAGTTATCACCAACCCTCACCGCGCCGAGCTCACACCGCTACCGCGCGTGACCTGAGCTGGGTGCCCTGCCGTGCAGTATCGAACTGTCCTCAAGCCAGCCACGTATTTGGCAGCCCATTGAGCTGTCTACCGGATCGCATCGTTTAGAAACGCCAAATGCGGCAGGGCCAGTCTCAGGCTGGTCGCGTAGGCGGCAGGCCGGCGGGCGACCAGCAAGGCTGCATTCGCATTTGAATCACCGAAGTGATACAGGTGCTTCTACTGCACCCCGTGGCGCATCAGGGAGGCATCTGGGTCCCTGGCAGCTCGTAAGCGCACCACCGTATCAGGTATGCGCAGGTGGAGCAGCAGAGCAAGATGTGTGCCGGATACTCACCATCATCCGGTCAACTTTATGGTTGTGCGACTTTACACAGCCGGCACTCATTACTTGCTATTGCTTGCAGAAGGCCGGAATTTTTTTCTTTTTCGCTCTTTCCCTTCTTCCAGGCGCGGCTTCATGTTAGGGCAGTAAATAGCAGTTAAGGACTCAGCTGAGTCAAGCTGGACTCAGCGTGTCAAGTTTGGCATAATACAATAAGCGCGCTATCCCCAAACAGTTGTGTGGTTATTGTGTGAGTGTATATGCAGGAGTCCGCGGTCACGGGAGGGGAGTGATAAATATTAATTTTTTTGTTATAAAATACACAGTCATGTCAAACAAGTAACATGGTTGTGTGATCTCTGCGGCCTTCGTCCTATTCATAGCTACCGGTATATTAAAATTTGTATCTTCACGTAGATTTCTTTTACATTCTTTCTTCATTTTTTTACGTATACACCACACCACATACTCCGGCATGCACTGGCTGTTGGTAACCACCCAGGAGAATTAAAGAAGAGCTAGGAGAGTGAGAAATAGAAGAAAGACGTGTGTGACCATAATCTTCGGGAATTCGCAACCTCTCGATTAGAAATCGACTGCACATACCACTGCACCATGTGGGACACACACACACACAACACACACACACACACACACACACACACACACACACACACACATACATACTTTCACAGGAAAAACTGGTGTAAGCGACCTCTGGGTTTAGCGACCACCTGCTCTTAATGATCGTTTTTCCATGCACCGACAGGTCTACACAGACACTGTGGGACAGGGTTCTAAAGACCACCTGGCTTTAACGGCCGTTTTTCTTGCACCGTGGGTGGTCGCTTAAACCAGGTTTACTGTACACACACTACTACTACTACTACTACAGCTTAGTTGCCGCAATGGCCACACCACTCGGAAAGGAGCCTGAGTCATTGCCAGGAGCAGAAGCGGATATGACGACTCAGGTCGTTCTATCGACAGAGTTGACGGTTGCAGTGAGATTAGCAGACACGGCATGTGACACTCTGTTCGACGTGATTGCATCATGGCCACACACACTTACACACGCTGTGTGTGTGTGTGTGTTTGTGTGTGTGTGTGTGTGTGTGTGTGTGTGTGTGTGTGTGTGTGTGTGTGTCTGTGTGTGTATGTTGCTTGACTTTGTGTTCATACCATTCCTGCATACCAGGGTTGTCTGCTATTCCAGGCCTGCGAATATGGCCAGCTGGAGTGTGCCTGCATGCTTGCAGACTGTTGCGGAGAAACAGTGATCAACCAATTGTATCTCAGGGTAGGTTTGTGTGTAAGATTGTTTGGGTATGCATTCGTGACAATGTCCCAGGTAGAGGCGACGGTTTCAAAAAGGATATAGGTTGCAAACCAGAACGGACTCAATATTCAATTTCTCTCTTGGAGTTTGATTAGGAAACATATGTCACAGTAAGACTACGATGTGTTATACTTCGAGCCAAAATTTCATGGCTCTACTATAACCAGAAGCGCCATACCCAAGCAGGCGAGTTTTTGACGTGTTGCTTCGCACTGTGACTTGAGTTTTACGACTTTCGAAAAATCAACTTCTTGTCGCAGGTAAACAGCGGCTCGGCTCTCGCCAATAAAGCACCTTATACCAATGAAAACTATTAGAAGGACACACAAGGCTTATCGTTACTCTGTACTGGCCATCGTGGAGCGACGGCAATTACCCAATTTCAGAACTCAGAGTGAATTTGCTGTGCACTCTAAAACCTGTCCGGTTTGGAGCCACCTCTGATTTGAAGCGAAAAACTGGGCAACTTGCAGGAAATGGGCCAACGCAAAGGAGTGGCTCAGTTCGATTGACTCTGGCCTCAGAGCAAACTTCAACATGTCAGTTTCGTTCCAAAAACATATTTCGAGTGAACAATCCACGCTGATGATCGGTTTGGGTCTATACAAATTTTGTTGTCAAGCCGTTCCGGTATCAAACCCTCCCTCCTACCAAGCACATTGCTCTGTAACTTGCACTGACTGGCTTTAAATGTGAATGTCGAGGTGGATGCATACAATATGCTTTCTGTACACACACTCCCTCCGAGTATGCAATCTGTACATGTGATTGTGTCCTTCTTGAAGGTTGGTGGTGGGGGTAAGGGGTTAGGGGCACATAATTATAATAGTTTTTGTTTTATATGAACGTTTCAATTCATCCCCTGATTTTATGTCAGATATGAGTAAAACACAACATTTAGGAAGTAAACATATGACTCCGCGCAAATTAGAAACTTAGCTACAGTACTGTCGGTCGTCGAAGAACTGAGTGGGGGGGGGGGGGGGGGGGCAGCCTCCTAGCCTAGACCGCTCTTATTATCACTACAGTATATGCACTGTTTAGTTAACGGGTATGCATTGGTATGCTGTGTTTGGAAAAATCCTAGCCTGGTTGTTTTTCGGCGCTCCGTTTTTCTGCGCCCGGCAGTACTGTGGTGCATTACTGTGAAGTACTTTCACGATCACCTGATCCAAATTGCCGTGGAAAATACTGACTCCTGTGGTCAAAACGGTGTGTTAACCTGTTTGGGTTGAGCAATTCATGCGTGTGTGTGGGGGTGGGGTTGTGGTGTGTGTGTGTTTGGGGGGGGGGGGGGGTGCATGTGGATGTGCATGTGTGTTTGGATGTATGTGTGTGTGTGTGTGTGTGTGTGTGTGTGTGTGTGTGTGTGTGTGTGTGTGTGTGCGTGTGTGTATTCTTGTGTGTGTGTGTGTCAGCTAGTTCGGTTGGTGGGTACACTTATGCCGGATAGTGTTGGGTCTGTTGCCAACGGGCTCGGCTGCTTGAAGGTGTATTGTTGTACCTACCACCTTTGTTGGTTTCAGGGTTCATATACTTTCTATTTGAAGTATACATACCTGTTAGCCATGGACTACTTCTGGCTAGATTAACTCTTGTGTAATCATGGTGCTAGTGAAGCTTGTATCAGATCCACTCTGATTTAGCCACCCACACTAGTAGCAAGTATTACCTTCACTGGGGGCAGGGGTAACTGCAGTTGGATCCCGGGACGGATACCCTGATGCCGTCAATCCGTTTTCGGCACCTTTTCCTCACCCACTTACTGAGGTGTGGTGAGCCCATAAGTGGGATCATTTTCAAGTCCACCCAGAGTTTTGGGGATTTCAGGGGGTGTCAGCCGTTGGGCGGTTCAATAGCCAATTGAGTCATCTTTCCAAGATTCCTTTTGAGTCTCTCTCCCCTCTCCCAGTGAGACCCACGTGACCAGTTTTGGCAGTGAGCAGCAAGTACGAGTACAAGTGTGTGTGTGTGTGTGTGTGTGTGTGTGTGTGTGTTACCCGCCACCGAAGACAGAAACACTAGCTGTGTGTAGAACGGTCCCCTTTCACCTCAATTAGTCTCCTTGTTTCTTTTCCTTCCTCGCTGTTGTCTCCCGCTTCTGGGAGCGACATGGCCATTTTGTGGCAGTTGTACATAGTAGTGTGTGTGTTTGTGTGTGTGTGTGTTTGTGTGTGTGTGTGTGTGTGTGTGTGTGTGTGTGTGTGTGTGCCAGCTAATTCGGTTGATGGGTACACTTATGTCTGATTGTGTTGGGTCTGTTACCAATGGGCTCGGCTGCTTGAAGGTGTAATGTTGTACCTGCCACCTAGATTAACTCTCGTGTAATCAATGCTGCTAGTGAAGCTCAGATCCACTCTGATTTAGCCACCCACACTAGTAGCAAGTATTACCTTCACTGGGGGCAGGGGTAACTGCAGTTGGATCCCAGGACGGATACCCTGATGCCGTCAATCCTCTTTCTGCACCTTATCCTCACCAACTTACTGAGGTGTGGTGAGCCCATAAGTGGGATCATTTTCAAGTCCACCCAGAGTTTTGGGGATTTCAAGGGGTGTCAGCCGTTGTGCGGTGCAATAGCCAATTGAGTCATCTTTCCAAGATTCCTTTTGAGTCTCTCTCCCTCTCCCGGGGAGACTCGCGTGACCAGTTTTGGCAGTGAGCAACAAGTACAAGCATGTGCGTGTGTGTATGTGGGTGTGCGCGCGCGTGTGTGTGTGTGTGTTGTTTATGTGTGTGTATTTGTGTGTGTGTGTGTATTTGTGTGTGTGTGTGTGCGTGTGTGCATTTGGTTGGGGATCCGTACATGTGTGGTTTGTGTGGGCGTACACATGCTATCACTATCTATGTTGTTCTTACTAGTTTGGAAGGCGGAAGTACACTCCACTACATGTAGCATGTAGTCAGGGTTGCATCCATATTGCCATGCACCTTGTCAAGTGTAAAGCCAAGGTGGACAGGACTGATTCGGTAAGTTGCACACCACTCTGCCTGTAGATTGAAGAATTACTAAATAGTGGCTCATGTCTGATTAGTAGTCAAAGATGCCAAACTTTGCCTGCACTGCAACCGTGTTTATGCTGGTGAACCACATTGGTTTCTGTCTCAGATAGGAAACTCATAACCATTATTATTATTACGAAGTAGTGGTTGCGACTTCGGCGATGATTTGTAAGAAAAGGGTTTGCTCCCCACACCGGAGCTCGCGCTATTCCGCCGACTTTACTTGACACTTGACTGACTTGACTGAGGTTTGCCGAGTCGAAGGTTCGATGGACTTTTCGTGTGCTCTGGATGGCAGTCGTGAGTCAGTCAAGTGTCAAGGAAAGTCGGCGGAATAGCGCGAGCTCCGGTGTGGGGAGCAAACCCTTTTCTTACATTATTATTATTACGAAGTAGTGGTTGCGACTTCGGCGATGACTTGTAAGAAAGGGTTTGCTCCCCACACTGGAGCTCGCGCTATTCCGCCGACTTTACTTGACACTTGACTGACTCACGACCGCCATCCAGAGCACACGAGAAGTCCATCGAACCTTCGACTCGGCAAACCTGCAAGAAAGCACCACTCTCTGCTCAATACACAGTGTTTCGGGGAATTCACCCCTCATCAGTTGAGCTTGAGTAGGCTGAGGAAGATTGTGCCTGAAGAGCACCACTTATATAGTGCTCTCCAGGCACAAACATCACCAGGGATACAAACTTACAGAGACACTCCGTTTCCAGCGCGACAAACACCTCGTGAACACCAGATAGCAGCGTGAGTCAGTGTCGCTCCTGGACGGTGAGACAGACCCCGAAACACTGTGTATTGAGCAGGGAGTGGTGCTTTCTGGCAGGTTTGCCGAGTCGAAGGTTCGATGGACTTCTCGTGTGCTCTGGATGGCGGTCGTGAGTCAGTCAAGTGTCAAGTAAAGTCGGCGGAATAGCGCGAGCTCCGGTGTGGGGAGCAAACCCTTTATTATTATTATTATCGCAAGTATCGACACCCATGGATTATAACACGATGTCCGCGACATGAACGGGCTCATTTTAGAACCGATGCTGAGATTACTTGTAGAATAGAAGACAGTGTGTGGATAGTTGGTGATGGGGAGTAAAGTACTCTGGTAGGCTGGAGAAAATGCGAGCCATGTTGTCAGGAAGATGGGTAAAACTTATCATCCTTGAAGACCATTGTCATGCAAGAAGCATGAGAATCATTCTGAGATTATGGGTGGAGACTGGAGAGTATAACTAGATGATTGACTGATGTCGGTCGAGTGTAACTTTTTGCTGCATTCAACCCTAATGTATAATGAGTAGTAGATTTTGGAGTAGCAATTTGGCGTTGTCACATGTTTCCTAGTCCAGTCAATTTCCATCTTACCTGGTCTGATAACAATGCAAACATGTAGTGTGATAGATGATGTGTACCGGTACATTGCAGCTTAAAGGAGTTCTGTACGTAGACTATCCATGCCTTCTGTAGTGTAATAGACCATTTTCAATGCCAGAAGGTACTGGCATTATTTGTTGGTAGCAAGGTACATTCCCTTCATTGCAATTTTCCATTGCAGGATGTGTGACTGCATGTGTGTGTGTGTGTGTGTGTGTGTGTGTGTGTGTGTGTGTGTGTGTGTGTGTGTGTGTGCGTGGGCGTGTGGGTGCGCTCGTGTGTGTGTGCGTCCGTTTGTGTGTGTGTGTGTATGTGTGTGTGTGTGTGTGTTGAGAAGCCAATGTCATGTATTGCCAGACCCTAATGTGCTGCATTGGTTTTTACACACCTAGCTAAGAGGACCACTACCAATTGAGCAATCAGAGTAGCCTACATGAGAACCCCGTGACTCACAGCAGATTGTGCATCATATTATGTAACAATGTAGCATACAGACTGCTGATGGATAGCACATATGAATGTCTGACCTTGTCTTTACCTTCACACAGACTGGTGGCCTTCCTGTTCATAGCGCTGCTGGGACTGGTTGTCTGGAAGTCGTCAAGTATCTACTAGATGTCCAGCCCGACACGATCTCCGTAAAGAACGAAGTGAGTTAAGAAATCTCTGGAACTGAAATGGTCATGAATCCATAAACAAAGAGTGTGCACCTTTCGCAAATGAGTGCAGGCGCGTACACATGGGGTAGGTTCATGTTGCCCCGGAAACCCCTCTAATGTACTAAACGCCTCTCTTTGCTATGATGGTTTCAATGCAGTTTTGTGAGTGCACCGGTGAGCGTGCAACGCTAGTACATGTACATGTATGTAGAAGTACTCACTGCAGGCTGTAACCTTGACGATCAACGAGTCGTAGTTCTAGTTTAGTGTAGAGCACGTAGTCATGGCTTTCACTCGAGAGTCGCGACTTCACGGTGTAGTCCTTACAATCATAGGCATACTCACGGCTCTACTGTCTGTCCATGTCCGCGGTAAGGGGAAGCTAGGGACCCGGTAACCTGCTAGCCACACATGCGGCAATCTATGCCATCGTGGTGTGGAGTTTTGACCGTTGTCCACTAGCAGGTGACTAAGTGACGCCAGTGCAGGAGCGCGAGAGGTAGAACTTATTCTGGTTTCGACATTTTGATACTAATTCTGATTTTTGTTAATGAACGTGGCTGCGTCAGCGCGGATGATTTTGACCTTCTCTGCTAAGCACAGGCCGCATGTTTTCGAGATGTTGCTGTAGGTCTTTGCTCTGTCGACGATGGACCATCTGATGTCGTACTCTTCACCCTGGTCCTGCAGCTGCGTGCTTTTGCGGTACTTTTCGTATCTCATAGTCGTGAGGTGGTTGCTATAGCGCGTCTTGAACGGTATCTCGCAAAGCCCGAATAACCGCCTCTCGTTACCTGAGCTCCGGGCCGTGACGTTCGGTTGATAGACCGCCCTTTCCTGCAAACACCGACCGTCCAGAGGGCAAGAGGGTTTAGCTCGGCAGTTGCATTTCTCTGCTGGTTTTCGCACGTCGGCCGGGGCCGTCACTTTCTGGTTGTGCCCCTTGATTATGCAGGCCATGTTGGGCATACACGAGTAGCTGACCTTGACCGTATTTTTGTTGAAAATGTTACAAAGAGGTGACGATGCGGGAAGTGCTTTCGAACCAGCGTCAGGAACCTCTGGCCGATACTGATAGACACGGATTTGTTGAATGGCGGGTTGTACCAAATTATGTTTCTCTTTCTTTCTCGGCTCTTCTTTGCCTGGCCACCGTTGTTGAATGTTAGTGCGGCCGGGAATCTGCTGGCTGATAGTGCTTCCCTGTAGGCCGGTGCAGCATTGCTGAAGGCCTCTTGGTCGCACGAAATGCTCGACACTCGCTTGTGGATCATTGCCGGCAATTTCTGTATGATTGTCGGAGGGTGGTTCGACTCGGTGTTGATGTATCTCGGTGCGTCGTTCGGTTTTCGGTACGGCTCGTAGCGGCCACTTGCGAGGTTGAAGGTAACGTCAAGGAAGTTGACCGTTCTCTGGTTTGTGTTGATCGTGATTCTCAACCCGGAGTCTCAGAACAGCTTCGTGATGGCTTTGCGGATGGAGTCTGCCTCGTGTCCCGTCATGTTTTTGAAAACTGCGAGGCCATCGTCGCGGTCCAGGCCTATGCTGGCGGGGCCGAACATATCTGCAAGACGCTTCAGCAGGAACGCCCCTACCAGTTGGCACACTTCCGCACCATCATAGCTCCCTATGGTGACGTCGAATAAGCCTACTCTGTCCTGCTTGGCCCATACCTTGTGAAGAGAAGAGTATGACATCAGATGGTCCATCGTCGACAGAGCCAAGACCTACAGCAACATCTCAAAAACATGCGGCCTGTGCTTAGCGGAGAAGGTCAAAATCATCCGCGCTGACGCAGCCACGCTCCTCAACAAAAATCAGAATTAGTAGCAAAATGTCGACACCAGAATAAGTTCTCCCTCTCGCGCTACGGCACTGGCGTCACTTAGTCACCTGCATGCTGCCGCCGGCACCTTCCTGCCGCCACCAGGCCCAGGCCAGGGCCTGCCTGCCTGCCCGCCGTCACTATAACTAACGTGTTACTTGACTGTCACCCCTCCATCTCTCCCTCCTTTTATCACCTCCCAAGTAATAACCGACACCATCCGCACCATATCTCTCTAACTAATGTATCACTTGAAATGTCACACTAATGTCGCGCTTTTGCCACCTTTGCGCGCTATGCCACCTGCTTTTTCATGCTTTTTCGCGCTTCACTCACCTTGTGCGCCCTTTTTTAGCTACCTGCCTGGGGATAAATTTGGACCCAGGTGATGTTCAGGTTATCAGTTGTCTGAGGATTGCCTTAGCTTTGCTATTTGCATGAAACGCAGCGTTACAACAATGACCTAGCCGGCTGTCTCTGTTCTCTTCTGCTTTTTGTGGTAATGCTCCATCCTTGTGGTGTTGAGCACTCTAGGCAATCTGGGAACTCTTGCTATTGTAATGAAATGACTTATAAACAGCCACTACAGATCAATCAGGAGTGCATGATGAGTCGCTTCGGGTCCCTGAACAGTCTTCCAGATCGCATTGTCTGGCGGTCAGTGCGGGCATGTTGGGACTGTGGCGACCGTTGCACCAACACCGGGATCTTTGATGGTGTGGTCTTGGGGACAGTCGATGACGGTCCAGGTAGCGTCGGGCTCGGTGGTGGGGATCATGCCTGGTCTTGTTCATCAGCTGCAGTCGGCGGTGGGTGTCGGTTAAACTGTCGATTCGGCTGCAGAACTCTTTCGTTGCAGTAGACTTCATAACCGCGGCTTGACGTCTTGTCGGTGATTACTGCAGGCTCCCATTCTCTCGACTTGCCGTTGATCAGTTGAAAGAAAACCTTTGTGCCAGACGTACGTGGCAAGGTCTTTCCCTCGGTGGTCGAGATGCTCAGCTGCCTTCTGTCTTCTGATCTCCTTCATCTGAATGTCGGCTGACATATCTGATGCAGGGATGAGTCGATCATTCAGGGTTGGCAACACAGTTCTGGTTCGGCGACCAAAAAGCCGTTGCACGGGACTGGTGCTGAGACCTTCAGTGGGTGTGTTGCGGACATTCAGTAACCCGAAGTATGGGTCGGACTTCCCCTTGTTGCACTTTTTCATGAACTTCTTCAAATCTTTGACTGCAGCCTCAGCAGCACAATTAGACTTGCTGCTGTCTGGGCTGTGGTGCACATGCAAGAATTCGCACTTCTCGAAATGCTACTTGATATTGCTCATGTGTACCCGTACATTGCAGTTTAAAGGAGTTATGTACGTAGACTATCCATGCCTTATGTAGTGTGATAGACCATTCTCAGTGCCAGAAGGTAATGGCATTATTTGGTAGTAGCAAGGTACATTCTCTTGGTGCCATTTTTCCATTGCAGGATGTTTGACTGAGTGTGTATGTGTGTGTGTGTGTGTGTGTGTGTGTGTGTGTGTGCGCGCATGCGTGTGCGTGTGCGTGTGTGTGTGTGTGTGTGTGTGTTTAGAAGCCACTGTAATGTATTGCCAGACGCTAATGTGCTGCAGTGGTTTTTACACATGAATGTCTGACCTTGTCTTTACCTGCACACAGGCTGGTGACCTTCCTGTTCATAGCGCTGCTAAGACTGGTTGTCTGGAAGTCGTCAAGTATCTACTAGATGTCCAGCCGGACATGGTCTCCGTAAGGAACACAGTGAGTTAAGAAATCTGTGGAACTGAAATGGTCATGAGTCCATGAGCAAAGAGTGTGCACTTTTGGCAAATGAGTGCAGACGTGTACGCATTGGGTAGGTTCATGTTGCCCCGTAAACCCCTCTAATGTACTAAACGCCCCTCTTTGGAATGATGGTTTCAATGCAGTTTTGTGAGTGCACTGGTGAGCACGCAACGCTAGTACATGTACATGTATGTAGCAGTACTCACTGCATGTTGTAATCTCGACGATAAACGAGTCATTGTGCTAGTATAGTGTAGACCACGTAGTCATGGCTTTCACTCGAGAGTCGCATTTCACGGTGTAGTCCTTACAATCATAGGCAAACTCATGGCTCTACTGTCTGTCCATGTCCGTGGTATGGCGAAGCTAGGGACCCGGGAACCTGCCAGCCACACATGCGGCAATTTATGCCATTGTGGTGTGGAGTTTTGACCGTTGTCCAGTGTCGTGTTGAAGCAAAAAAGACGAAAAGCATGTTCCGCAATTGCAATTTTTCCCGCTGAGAGGAGCTGAGTGTAGTCTGGGACAGTAGACGGTGCCCCTTGAGAAGCTGTGCTGGGCTGAATCCGCATTCGAAGGGTGTTGAGCGATAGCTTAGCAGAGGGTGATAAGGGTCAGACCCTTTCACTAGTACAGACTTGACCGACTCTGACCGTATGCTCGGCAAGGTCGTTGCCCTGTGGATGCAGCGGACTGCTGGTGTAGGGATGTGTGCCATACTGCTGCAGGAAAGTTGCATACTGTACGCTCTGGACGGTGGATGGAGGAAATCTAGAACTCCAAAATAATGTTCTATTTCATTTTGATACGTGTAATGTCCGCCTTGCATATTCTGCTTATGACGACTTTAAAAATGCTCATTCAGAGGCATGTACGTACACGATCATCAGGAACCCGCGTGGACCCAGTTACAATCTTACTCGGCATCAAAACTGCACACTGGTCTGGAAATGAGTAAATGCCTACTGGCTAACAAAGCAATATCGACAAGCAACTATGGCTGCCTGAAAAAAAACAATTCTAAATAGTGGTCCCGGAGCTCTTAGCGCCTGAATTTCTCATATTATATTCTGGTCGGCTCCATAAGCTGGCATACAAAGTTCGTAACTTTGTCAGTAACTGTTTCTGACTGTAACTGTTAACTGTAAAGTGAGTAACTGTTACTGACTAGGCTCCCCCCCCCCCCCCCCCCCACACATGTACTGACTAGTAAACAACTATATAGTCACAACTGTCGTAAAAGCAGAGACATGGACAAATGCTACCAAGAGATGCAGGCTTGTAGCCTTTTACCAACCGACTAAGGACCAGCCCTGCATCCTGGGAGGCCATTAGATCCGGGAAAACCTCTTTTCTATGGACCAATCCCCTGCCTGGTGTTGAAACATGCGTCGGGGTTTTCCAGTACTTGCTGGCAAACAGTTTTGTCAACAGAGTCCGAGTAGTCTACATCAGGTTGTCTCACCTGACACTGAGTTGTACATCATATCCAAGATACGTACTTTTCTTATGGATAACACATAGGAATGCCTGGTCATGTGTCTTACCTGTACACAGAGAGGTGAACTTCCTGTTCATTGTGCTGCCAGGAGTAGACATCTGGAAGTCCTCAAGTATCTACTAGATCTCCAACCAGACATGATCTCGGTAAAGTGCCACGTAAGTTGAGAAATCTGTATCGTAGACTCCCTTTACTGTAGTCAGTCACTCTTACAGCACTCTTGAGGATCACTGTGCTAGCTGTATGTCTATTGGTGGGAGAATATCAAGCTGATACAACAGCAACCTCACCGATCGTTTGCTGCAAAAGTAGCTGTTGTTACCTGACCAGTCTTATAACCAACAATGCTACAGTCGCGTGAATGGCACTTAGAGTAATAGCAGGGAGTAGTAAGAACAGAGCAATGGCAAAAGGCACCAGTTGCCAGAAGCGTAAGATCAGACTGAGTAGCGAAAGTCTGAAACTCCAGAAGGAGCCAAATCGCAATCCACACATGATGTCACATGCGCATGCGTGGGGCACACATTGAACACACGTGTACGTGAACGCAGTACACGTGACGTCTCCCTTTCTTTACAATAAGAGAGTGTCCGGGCCAATCAAATACATGTATATGGCGGCATAATAATTATGAGTCAAATGAAATAGCTCTATCTAATAAGAGCTGGCTTGAGCGTATGTAATGCAGCACGCACATACATAATGAAACGACTCACAAAGGCAGAAGAGAATAGAGACAGCCGGCTAGGTCATTGTTGTAACACTGCGTTTCATGCACATAGCAAAGCTACGGCAATCCTCAGATAACTGATACCCTGCACATCATCTGGGACCAAATTTATACCCAGGCAGGTAGCTAAAACCGGGCCCGTAAAAGGAGGGGTGACAGTCAAGTAACACGTTAGTTATAGTGACGGCGGGTAGGCAGGCAGGCCCTGGCCTGGGCCTGGTGGCGGCAGGCAGGTGCCGGCGGCGGCATGCAGGTGACTAAGTGACGCCAGTGCAGTAGCGCGAGAGGTAGAACTTATTCTGGAGTCGACATTTTGATACTAATTCTGATTTTTGTTGAGGAACGTGGCTGCGTCAGCGCGGATGATTTTGACCTCTGCTAAGCACAGGCCGCATGTTTTTGAGATGTTGCTGTAGGTCTTTGCTCTGTCGACGATGGACCATCTTATGTCGTACTCTTCACCCTGGTCCTGCAGCTGCGTGATTTTGCGGTACTTTTCGTATCTCATAGTCGTGAGGTGGTTGCTATAGCGCGTCTTGAACGGTATCTCGCAAAGCCTGAATAACCGCCTCTCGTCACCTGAGCTCCGGGGTGTGACGTTCGGTTAATGGACCGCCCTTTCCTGCAAACACCGGCCGTCCAGAGGGCAAGAGGGTTTAGCTCGGCAGTTGCATTCCTCTGCTGGTTTTCGCACGTCGGCCGGGGCCGTCACTTTCTGGTTGTGCCCCTTGATTATGCAGGCCATGTTGGGCATACACGAGTAGCTGACCTTGACCGTATTTTTGTTGAAAATTTTACAAAGAGGTGACGATGCCGGGAAGTGCTTTCGAACCAGCGTCAGGAACCTCTGGCCGATACTGATAGACACGGATTTGTTGAATGGCGGGTTGTACCAAATTATGTTTCTCTTTCTTTCTCGGCTCTTCTTTGCCTGGCCGCCGTTGTTGAATGTTAGTGCGGCCGGGAATCTGCTGGCTGATAGTGCTTCCCTGTAGGCCGGTGCAGCATTGCTGAAGGCCTCTTGGTCGCACGAAATGCTCGACACTCGCTTGTGGATCATTGCCGGCAATTTCTATATGATTTTTCGGAGGGTGGTTCGAATCGGTGTTGATGTATCTCGGTGCGTCGTTCGGTTTTCGGTACGGCTCGTAGCGGCCACTTGCGAGGTTGAAGGTAACGTCAAGGAAGTTGACCGTTCTCTGGTTTGTGCTGATCGTGATTCTCAACCCGGAGTCTCTGAACAGCTTCGTGATGGCTTTGCGGATGGAGTCTGCCTCGTGTCCCGTCATGTTCTTGAAAACTGCGAGGCCATCGTCGCGGTACAGGCCTATGATGGCGGGGCCGAACATATCTGCAAGACGCTTCAGCAGGAACGCCCCTACCAGTTGACACACTTCCGCACCATCATAGCTCCCCATGGTGACGTCGAATAAGCCTACTCTGTCCTTCTTGGCCCATACCTTGTGAAGAGAAGAGTACGACATCAGATGGTCCATTGTCGACAGAGCAAAGACCTTCAGCAACATCTCAAAAACATGCTGCCTGTGCTTAGCGGAGGAGGTCAAAATCATCCGCGCTGACAAAGCCACGCTCCTCAACAATTATCAGAATTAGTATCAAAATGTCGACACCAGAATAAGTTCTACCTCTCGCGCTACGGCACTGGCGTCACTTAGTCACTTGCATGCCGCCGCCGGCACCTTCCTGCCTGCCTACCCGCCGTCACTATAACTAACGTGTTACTTGACTGTCACCCCTCCATCCCTCCCTCCTTTTATCACCTCCCAAGTAATAACCGACACCATCCACACCATATCTCTCTAACTAATGTATCACTTGAAATGTCACACTAATGTCGCGCTTTTGCCACCTTTGCGCGCTATACCACCTGCTTTTTCGTGCTTTTTCGCGCTTCACTCACTTTGTGCGCCCTGCCTGGGTATAAATTTGAACCCAGATGATGTACAGGTTATCAGTTGTCTGAGGATTGCCATAGATTTGCTATTTGCATGAAGCGCAGCATTACAACAATGACCTAGCCGGCCGTCTCTGTTCTCTTCTGCCTTTTGTGGTAATGCTCCATCTTTGTGGTGTTGAGCACTCCAGGCAATCTGGGAACTCTCGCTATTGTAATGAAATGACTTATAAACAGCCACTACAGATCAATCAGTAGTGCATGATCAGTCGCTTAGGGTCCCTGACCAGTCTTCGAGATCGCATTGTCTGGCTGTCAGTGCGGGCACCTTGGGACTGTGGGGACCGTTGCACCAACACCGGGATCTTTGATGGTGTGGTCTTGGGGATAGTCGATGACGGTCCAGGTAGCTTCGGGCTCGGTGGTGGGGATCATGCCTGGTCTTGTTCATCAGCTGCAGTCGGCGGTGGGTGTCGGTTAAACTGTCGATTCGGCTGCAGAACTCTTTCGTTGCAGTAGACTTAATAACCGCGGCTTGACGTCTTGTCTTGTCGGTGATTACTGCAGGCTCCCATTCTCTCGACTTGCCGTTGATCAGTTGAAAAAAAACCTTTGTGCCAGACGTGCGTGGCGGAAGGTCTTTCCTTCGGTGGTCGAGATGCTCAGCTGCCTTCTGTCTTCTGATCTCCTTCTTCTGAATGTCGGCTGACATATCTGCTGCAGGGATGAGTCAATCATTCAGGGTTGGCAACACAGTTCTGGTTCGGCGACCAAAAAGCCGTTGCACGGGACTGGTGCTGAGACCTTCAGTGGGTGTGTTGCGGACATTAAGTAACCCGAAGTATGGGTCGGACTTCTCCTCGTCGCACTTTTTCATGAACTTCTTCGAATCTTTGACTGCAGCATCAGCAGCACGATTAGATTTGCTGCTGTCTGGGCTGCGGTGCACATGCAAGAATACGCACTTCTCGAAATGCTACTTGATATTGCTCATGTGTACCCGTACATTGCAGTTTAAAGGAGTTATGTACGTAGACTATCCATGCCTTATGTAGTGTGATAGACCATTCTCAGTGCCAGAAGGTAATGGCATTATTTGGTAGTAGCAAGGTACATTCTCTTGGTGCCATTTTTCCATTGCAGGATGTTTGACTGAGTGTGTGTGTGTGTGAGTGTGTGTGTGTGTGTGTGTGTGTGTGTGTGTGGGTGTGTGTGTGTGTGCGTATGTGTGTGTGTGTGTGTTTAGAAGCCACTGTAATGTATTGCCAGACGCTAATGTGCTGCAGTGGTTTTTACACATATGAATGTCTGACCTTGTCTTAACCTGCACACAGGCTGGTGACCTTCCTGTTCATAGCGCTGCTGAGACTGGTCGTCTGGAAGTCGTCAAGTATCTACTAGATGTCCAGCCGGACATGGTCTCCGTAAAGAACACAGTGAGTTAAGAAATCTGTGGAACTGAAATGGTCATGAGTCCATGAGCAAAGAGTGTGCACTTTTGGCAAATGAGTGCAGACGTGTACGCATGGGGTAGGTTCATGTTGCCCCGGAAACCCCTCTAATGTACTAAACGCCCCTCTTTGAAATGATGGTTTCAATGCAGTTTTGTGAGTGCACTGGTGAGCACGCAACGCTAGTACATGTACATGTATGTAGCAGTACTCACTGCAGGTTGTAATCTCGACGATCAACGAGTCATTGTGCTAGTATAGTGTAGACCACGTAGTCATGGCTTTCACTCGAGAGTCGCGACTTCACGGTATAGTCCTTACAATCACAGGCATACTCACGGCTCTACTGTCTGTCCATGTCCGTGGTATGGCGAAGCTAGGGACCCGGTAACCTGCTAACCACACATGCGGCAATCTATGCCATCGTGGTGTGGAGTTTTGACCGTTGTCCAGTGTCTTGTTGAAGCAAAAAGGACGAAAAGCATGTTCCGCAATTGCAATTTTTCACGCTGAGTGTAGTCTGGGACAGTAGACGGTGCCCCTGCTGTTGAATCGTCAGAGAGTGATGACAGTGACTTCAGCAATGATGACAGTGAGTAAAGTATTCACACCCTTGCTTTTCCATTGGCTGCAAATATACTTCCCCAAATGAAAGACCAACTACTTACGATTTCAGCTAGCGACTCCTGCGAACTAACTTGCAAGTAGCCAAGGGTCCTTGTATTTTGTCATACTTGTAAATACTTCTAGCTTTCCTTTTATTTTTGGGCATTTATTAACATTATTGCCTTTAATATCGTGCGCTCAGTATACATCTGTAATAACACCACTTTTTAAAAGCAATTTTGTGTGGAATGTTGGCTGATCAGTGGGCATGGGAACCACTCCTGGAGGGGAGCGGCGTACGCCCCTGACATATGAATGTCTGACCTTGTCTTTACCTGCACACAGGCTGGTGACCTTCCTGTTCATAGCGCTGCTAAGACTGGTTGTCTGGAAGTCGTCAAGTATCTACTAGATGTCCAGCCGGACATGGTCTCCGTAAGGAACACAGTGAGTTAAGAAATCTGTGGAACTGAAATGGTCATGAGTCCATGAGCAAAGAGTGTGCACTTTTGGCAAATGAGTGCAGACGTGTACGCATTGGGTAGGTTCATGTTGCCCCGTAAACCCCTCTAATGTACTAAACGCCCCTCTTTGGAATGATGGTTTCAATGCAGTTTTGTGAGTGCACTGGTGAGCACGCAACGCTAGTACATGTACATGTATGTAGCAGTACTCACTGCATGTTGTAATCTCGACGATAAACGAGTCATTGTGCTAGTATAGTGTAGACCACGTAGTCATGGCTTTCACTCGAGAGTCGCATTTCACGGTGTAGTCCTTACAATCATAGGCAAACTCATGGCTCTACTGTCTGTCCATGTCCGTGGTATGGCGAAGCTAGGGACCCGGGAACCTGCCAGCCACACATGCGGCAATTTATGCCATTGTGGTGTGGAGTTTTGACCGTTGTCCAGTGTCGTGTTGAAGCAAAAAAGACGAAAAGCATGTTCCGCAATTGCAATTTTTCCCGCTGAGAGGAGCTGAGTGTAGTCTGGGACAGTAGACGGTGCCCCTTGAGAAGCTGTGCTGGGCTGAATCCGCATTCGAAGGGTGTTGAGCGATAGCTTAGCAGAGGGTGATAAGGGTCAGACCCTTTCACTAGTACAGACTTGACCGACTCTGACCGTATGCTCGGCAAGGTCGTTGCCCTGTGGATGCAGCGGACTGCTGGTGTAGGGATGTGTGCCATACTGCTGCAGGAAAGTTGCATACTGTACGCTCTGGACGGTGGATGGAGGAAATCTAGAACTCCAAAATAATGTTCTATTTCATTTTGATACGTGTAATGTCCGCCTTGCATATTCTGCTTATGACGACTTTAAAAATGCTCATTCAGAGGCATGTACGTACACGATCATCAGGAACCCGCGTGGACCCAGTTACAATCTTACTCGGCATCAAAACTGCACACTGGTCTGGAAATGAGTAAATGCCTACTGGCTAACAAAGCAATATCGACAAGCAACTATGGCTGCCTTAAAAAAAACAATTCTAAATAGTGGTCCCGGAGCTCTTAGCGCCTGAATTTCTCATATTATATTCTGGTCGGCTCCATAAGCTGGCATACAAAGTTCGTAACTTTGTCAGTAACTGTTTCTGACTGTAACTGTTAACTGTAAAGTGAGTAACTGTTACTGACTAGGCTCCCCCCCCCCCCCCCACACATGTACTGACTAGTAAACAACTATATAGTCACAACTGTCGTAAAAGCAGAGACATGGACAAATGCTACCAAGAGATGCAGGCTTGTAGCCTTTTACCAACCGACTAAGGACCAGCCCTGCATCCTGGGAGGCCATTAGATCCGGGAAAACCTCTTTTCTATGGACCAATCCCCTGCCTGGTGTTGAAACATGCGTCGGGGTTTTCCAGTACTTGCTGGCAAACAGTTTTGTCAACAGAGTCCGAGTAGTCTACATCAGGTTGTCTCACCTGACACTGAGTTGTACATCATATCCAAGATACGTACTTTTCTTATGGATAACACATAGGAATGCCTGGTCATGTGTCTTACCTGTACACAGAGAGGTGAACTTCCTGTTCATCGTGCTGCCAGGAGTAGACATCTGGAAGTCCTCAAGTATCTACTAGATCTCCAACCAGACATGATCTCGGTAAAGTGCCACGTAAGTTGAGAAATCTGTATCGTAGACTCCCTTTACTGTAGTCAGTCACTCTTACAGCACTCTTGAGGATCACTGTGCTAGCTGTATGTCTATTGGTGGGAGAATATCAAGCTGATACAACAGCAACCTCACCGATCGTTTGCTGCAAAAGTAGCTGTTGTTACCTGACCAGTCTTATAACCAACAATGCTACAGTCGCGTGAATGGCACTTAGAGTAATAGCAGGGAGTAGTAAGAACAGAGCAATGGCAAAAGGCACCAGTTGCCAGAAGCGTAAGATCAGACTGAGTAGCGAAAGTCTGAAACTCCAGAAGGAGCCAAATCGCAATCCACACATGATGTCACATGCGCATGCGTGGGGCACACATTGAACACACGTGTACGTGAACGCAGTACACGTGACGTCTCCCTTTCTTTACAATAAGAGAGTGTCCGGGCCAATCAAATACATGTATATGGCGGCATAATAATTATGAGTCAAATGAAATAGCTCTATCTAATAAGAGCTGGCTTGAGCGTATGTAATGCAGCACGCACATACATAATGAAACGACTCACAAAGGCAGAAGAGAATAGAGACAGCCGGCTAGGTCATTGTTGTAACACTGCGTTTCATGCACATAGCAAAGCTACGGCAATCCTCAGATAACTGATACCCTGCACATCATCTGGGACCAAATTTATACCCAGGCAGGTAGCTAAAACCGGGCCCGTAAAAGGAGGGGTGACAGTCAAGTAACACGTTAGTTATAGTGACGGCGGGTAGGCAGGCAGGCCCTGGCCTGGGCCTGGTGGCGGCAGGCAGGTGCCGGCGGCGGCATGCAGGTGACTAAGTGACGCCAGTGCAGTAGCGCGAGAGGTAGAACTTATTCTGGAGTCGACATTTTGATACTAATTCTGATTTTTGTTGAGGAACGTGGCTGCGTCAGCGCGGATGATTTTGACCTCTGCTAAGCACAGGCCGCATGTTTTTGAGATGTTGCTGTAGGTCTTTGCTCTGTCGACGATGGACCATCTTATGTCGTACTCTTCACCCTGGTCCTGCAGCTGCGTGATTTTGCGGTACTTTTCGTATCTCATAGTCGTGAGGTGGTTGCTATAGCGCGTCTTGAACGGTATCTCGCAAAGCCTGAATAACCGCCTCTCGTCACCTGAGCTCCGGGGTGTGACGTTCGGTTAATGGACCGCCCTTTCCTGCAAACACCGGCCGTCCAGAGGGCAAGAGGGTTTAGCTCGGCAGTTGCATTCCTCTGCTGGTTTTCGCACGTCGGCCGGGGCCGTCACTTTCTGGTTGTGCCCCTTGATTATGCAGGCCATGTTGGGCATACACGAGTAGCTGACCTTGACCGTATTTTTGTTGAAAATTTTACAAAGAGGTGACGATGCCGGGAAGTGCTTTCGAACCAGCGTCAGGAACCTCTGGCCGATACTGATAGACACGGATTTGTTGAATGGCGGGTTGTACCAAATTATGTTTCTCTTTCTTTCTCGGCTCTTCTTTGCCTGGCCGCCGTTGTTGAATGTTAGTGCGGCCGGGAATCTGCTGGCTGATAGTGCTTCCCTGTAGGCCGGTGCAGCATTGCTGAAGGCCTCTTGGTCGCACGAAATGCTCGACACTCGCTTGTGGATCATTGCCGGCAATTTCTATATGATTTTTCGGAGGGTGGTTCGAATCGGTGTTGATGTATCTCGGTGCGTCGTTCGGTTTTCGGTACGGCTCGTAGCGGCCACTTGCGAGGTTGAAGGTAACGTCAAGGAAGTTGACCGTTCTCTGGTTTGTGCTGATCGTGATTCTCAACCCGGAGTCTCAGAACAGCTTCGTGATGGCTTTGCGGATGGAGTCTGCCTCGTGTCCCGTCATGTTCTTGAAAACTGCGAGGCCATCGTCGCGGTACAGGCCTATGATGGCGGGGCCGAACATATCTGCAAGACGCTTCAGCAGGAACGCCCCTACCAGTTGACACACTTCCGCACCATCATAGCTCCCCATGGTGACGTCGAATAAGCCTACTCTGTCCTTCTTGGCCCATACCTTGTGAAGAGAAGAGTACGACATCAGATGGTCCATTGTCGACAGAGCAAAGACCTTCAGCAACATCTCAAAAACATGCTGCCTGTGCTTAGCGGAGGAGGTCAAAATCATCCGCGCTGACAAAGCCACGCTCCTCAACAATTATCAGAATTAGTATCAAAATGTCGACACCAGAATAAGTTCTACCTCTCGCGCTACGGCACTGGCGTCACTTAGTCACTTGCATGCCGCCGCCGGCACCTTCCTGCCTGCCTACCCGCCGTCACTATAACTAACGTGTTACTTGACTGTCACCCCTCCATCCCTCCCTCCTTTTATCACCTCCCAAGTAATAACCGACACCATCCACACCATATCTCTCTAACTAATGTATCACTTGAAATGTCACACTAATGTCGCGCTTTTGCCACCTTTGCGCGCTATACCACCTGCTTTTTCGTGCTTTTTCGCGCTTCACTCACTTTGTGCGCCCTGCCTGGGTATAAATTTGAACCCAGATGATGTACAGGTTATCAGTTGTCTGAGGATTGCCATAGATTTGCTATTTGCATGAAGCGCAGCATTACAACAATGACCTAGCCGGCCGTCTCTGTTCTCTTCTGCCTTTTGTGGTAATGCTCCATCTTTGTGGTGTTGAGCACTCCAGGCAATCTGGGAACTCTCGCTATTGTAATGAAATGACTTATAAACAGCCACTACAGATCAATCAGTAGTGCATGATCAGTCGCTTAGGGTCCCTGACCAGTCTTCGAGATCGCATTGTCTGGCTGTCAGTGCGGGCACCTTGGGACTGTGGGGACCGTTGCACCAACACCGGGATCTTTGATGGTGTGGTCTTGGGGATAGTCGATGACGGTCCAGGTAGCTTCGGGCTCGGTGGTGGGGATCATGCCTGGTCTTGTTCATCAGCTGCAGTCGGCGGTGGGTGTCGGTTAAACTGTCGATTCGGCTGCAGAACTCTTTCGTTGCAGTAGACTTAATAACCGCGGCTTGACGTCTTGTCTTGTCGGTGATTACTGCAGGCTCCCATTCTCTCGACTTGCCGTTGATCAGTTGAAAAAAAACCTTTGTGCCAGACGTGCGTGGCGGAAGGTCTTTCCTTCGGTGGTCGAGATGCTCAGCTGCCTTCTGTCTTCTGATCTCCTTCTTCTGAATGTCGGCTGACATATCTGCTGCAGGGATGAGTCAATCATTCAGGGTTGGCAACACAGTTCTGGTTCGGCGACCAAAAAGCCGTTGCACGGGACTGGTGCTGAGACCTTCAGTGGGTGTGTTGCGGACATTAAGTAACCCGAAGTATGGGTCGGACTTCTCCTCGTCGCACTTTTTCATGAACTTCTTCGAATCTTTGACTGCAGCATCAGCAGCACGATTAGATTTGCTGCTGTCTGGGCTGCGGTGCACATGCAAGAATACGCACTTCTCGAAATGCTACTTGATATTGCTCATGTGTACCCGTACATTGCAGTTTAAAGGAGTTATGTACGTAGACTATCCATGCCTTATGTAGTGTGATAGACCATTCTCAGTGCCAGAAGGTAATGGCATTATTTGGTAGTAGCAAGGTACATTCTCTTGGTGCCATTTTTCCATTGCAGGATGTTTGACTGAGTGTGTGTGTGTGTGAGTGTGTGTGTGTGTGTGTGTGTGTGTGTGTGTGTGGGTGTGTGTGTGTGTGCGTATGTGTGTGTGTGTGTGTTTAGAAGCCACTGTAATGTATTGCCAGACGCTAATGTGCTGCAGTGGTTTTTACACATATGAATGTCTGACCTTGTCTTAACCTGCACACAGGCTGGTGACCTTCCTGTTCATAGCGCTGCTGAGACTGGTCGTCTGGAAGTCGTCAAGTATCTACTAGATGTCCAGCCGGACATGGTCTCCGTAAAGAACACAGTGAGTTAAGAAATCTGTGGAACTGAAATGGTCATGAGTCCATGAGCAAAGAGTGTGCACTTTTGGCAAATGAGTGCAGACGTGTACGCATGGGGTAGGTTCATGTTGCCCCGGAAACCCCTCTAATGTACTAAACGCCCCTCTTTGAAATGATGGTTTCAATGCAGTTTTGTGAGTGCACTGGTGAGCACGCAACGCTAGTACATGTACATGTATGTAGCAGTACTCACTGCAGGTTGTAATCTCGACGATCAACGAGTCATTGTGCTAGTATAGTGTAGACCACGTAGTCATGGCTTTCACTCGAGAGTCGCGACTTCACGGTATAGTCCTTACAATCACAGGCATACTCACGGCTCTACTGTCTGTCCATGTCCGTGGTATGGCGAAGCTAGGGACCCGGTAACCTGCTAACCACACATGCGGCAATCTATGCCATCGTGGTGTGGAGTTTTGACCGTTGTCCAGTGTCTTGTTGAAGCAAAAAGGACGAAAAGCATGTTCCGCAATTGCAATTTTTCACGCTGAGTGTAGTCTGGGACAGTAGACGGTGCCCCTGCTGTTGAATCGTCAGAGAGTGATGACAGTGACTTCAGCAATGATGACAGTGAGTAAAGTATTCACACCCTTGCTTTTCCATTGGCTGCAAATATACTTCCCCAAATGAAAGACCAACTACTTACGATTTCAGCTAGCGACTCCTGCGAACTAACTTGCAAGTAGCCAAGGGTCCTTGTATTTTGTCATACTTGTAAATACTTCTAGCTTTCCTTTTATTTTTGGGCATTTATTAACATTATTGCCTTTAATATCGTGCGCTCAGTATACATCTGTAATAACACCACTTTTTAAAAGCAATTTTGTGTGGAATGTTGGCTGATCAGTGGGCATGGGAACCACTCCTGGAGGGGAGCGGCGTACGCCCCTGACATATGAATGTCTGACCTTGTCTTTACCTGCACACAGGCTGGTGACCTTCCTGTTCATAGCGCTGCTAAGACTGGTTGTCTGGAAGTCGTCAAGTATCTACTAGATGTCCAGCCGGACATGGTCTCCGTAAGGAACACAGTGAGTTAAGAAATCTGTGGAACTGAAATGGTCATGAGTCCATGAGCAAAGAGTGTGCACTTTTGGCAAATGAGTGCAGACGTGTACGCATTGGGTAGGTTCATGTTGCCCCGTAAACCCCTCTAATGTACTAAACGCCCCTCTTTGGAATGATGGTTTCAATGCAGTTTTGTGAGTGCACTGGTGAGCACGCAACGCTAGTACATGTACATGTATGTAGCAGTACTCACTGCATGTTGTAATCTCGACGATAAACGAGTCATTGTGCTAGTATAGTGTAGACCACGTAGTCATGGCTTTCACTCGAGAGTCGCATTTCACGGTGTAGTCCTTACAATCATAGGCAAACTCATGGCTCTACTGTCTGTCCATGTCCGTGGTATGGCGAAGCTAGGGACCCGGGAACCTGCCAGCCACACATGCGGCAATTTATGCCATTGTGGTGTGGAGTTTTGACCGTTGTCCAGTGTCGTGTTGAAGCAAAAAAGACGAAAAGCATGTTCCGCAATTGCAATTTTTCCCGCTGAGAGGAGCTGAGTGTAGTCTGGGACAGTAGACGGTGCCCCTTGAGAAGCTGTGCTGGGCTGAATCCGCATTCGAAGGGTGTTGAGCGATAGCTTAGCAGAGGGTGATAAGGGTCAGACCCTTTCACTAGTACAGACTTGACCGACTCTGACCGTATGCTCGGCAAGGTCGTTGCCCTGTGGATGCAGCGGACTGCTGGTGTAGGGATGTGTGCCATACTGCTGCAGGAAAGTTGCATACTGTACGCTCTGGACGGTGGATGGAGGAAATCTAGAACTCCAAAATAATGTTCTATTTCATTTTGATACGTGTAATGTCCGCCTTGCATATTCTGCTTATGACGACTTTAAAAATGCTCATTCAGAGGCATGTACGTACACGATCATCAGGAACCCGCGTGGACCCAGTTACAATCTTACTCGGCATCAAAACTGCACACTGGTCTGGAAATGAGTAAATGCCTACTGGCTAACAAAGCAATATCGACAAGCAACTATGGCTGCCTTAAAAAAAACAATTCTAAATAGTGGTCCCGGAGCTCTTAGCGCCTGAATTTCTCATATTATATTCTGGTCGGCTCCATAAGCTGGCATACAAAGTTCGTAACTTTGTCAGTAACTGTTTCTGACTGTAACTGTTAACTGTAAAGTGAGTAACTGTTACTGACTAGGCTCCCCCCCCCCCCCCACACATGTACTGACTAGTAAACAACTATATAGTCACAACTGTCGTAAAAGCAGAGACATGGACAAATGCTACCAAGAGATGCAGGCTTGTAGCCTTTTACCAACCGACTAAGGACCAGCCCTGCATCCTGGGAGGCCATTAGATCCGGGAAAACCTCTTTTCTATGGACCAATCCCCTGCCTGGTGTTGAAACATGCGTCGGGGTTTTCCAGTACTTGCTGGCAAACAGTTTTGTCAACAGAGTCCGAGTAGTCTACATCAGGTTGTCTCACCTGACACTGAGTTGTACATCATATCCAAGATACGTACTTTTCTTATGGATAACACATAGGAATGCCTGGTCATGTGTCTTACCTGTACACAGAGAGGTGAACTTCCTGTTCATCGTGCTGCCAGGAGTAGACATCTGGAAGTCCTCAAGTATCTACTAGATCTCCAACCAGACATGATCTCGGTAAAGTGCCACGTAAGTTGAGAAATCTGTATCGTAGACTCCCTTTACTGTAGTCAGTCACTCTTACAGCACTCTTGAGGATCACTGTGCTAGCTGTATGTCTATTGGTGGGAGAATATCAAGCTGATACAACAGCAACCTCACCGATCGTTTGCTGCAAAAGTAGCTGTTGTTACCTGACCAGTCTTATAACCAACAATGCTACAGTCGCGTGAATGGCACTTAGAGTAATAGAACAGGGAGTAGTAAGAACAGAGCAATGGCAAAAGGCACCAGTTGCCAGAAGCGTAAGATCAGACTGAGTAGCGAAAGTCTGAAACTCCAGAAGGAGCCAAATCGCAATCCACACATGATGTCACATGCGCATGCGTGGGGCACACATTGAACACACGTGTACGTGAACGCAGTACACGTGACGTCTCCCTTTCTTTACAATAAGAGAGTGTCCGGGCCAATCAAATACATGTATATGGCGGCATAATAATTATGAGTCAAATGAAATAGCTCTATCTAATAAGAGCTGGCTTGAGCGTATGTAATGCAGCACGCACATACATAATGAAACGACTCACAAAGGCAGAAGAGAATAGAGACAGCCGGCTAGGTCATTGTTGTAACACTGCGTTTCATGCACATAGCAAAGCTACGGCAATCCTCAGATAACTGATACCCTGCACATCATCTGGGACCAAATTTATACCCAGGCAGGTAGCTAAAACCGGGCCCGTAAAAGGAGGGGTGACAGTCAAGTAACACGTTAGTTATAGTGACGGCGGGTAGGCAGGCAGGCCCTGGCCTGGGCCTGGTGGCGGCAGGCAGGTGCCGGCGGCGGCATGCAGGTGACTAAGTGACGCCAGTGCAGTAGCGCGAGAGGTAGAACTTATTCTGGAGTCGACATTTTGATACTAATTCTGATTTTTGTTGAGGAACGTGGCTGCGTCAGCGCGGATGATTTTGACCTCTGCTAAGCACAGGCCGCATGTTTTTGAGATGTTGCTGTAGGTCTTTGCTCTGTCGACGATGGACCATCTTATGTCGTACTCTTCACCCTGGTCCTGCAGCTGCGTGATTTTGCGGTACTTTTCGTATCTCATAGTCGTGAGGTGGTTGCTATAGCGCGTCTTGAACGGTATCTCGCAAAGCCTGAATAACCGCCTCTCGTCACCTGAGCTCCGGGGTGTGACGTTCGGTTAATGGACCGCCCTTTCCTGCAAACACCGGCCGTCCAGAGGGCAAGAGGGTTTAGCTCGGCAGTTGCATTCCTCTGCTGGTTTTCGCACGTCGGCCGGGGCCGTCACTTTCTGGTTGTGCCCCTTGATTATGCAGGCCATGTTGGGCATACACGAGTAGCTGACCTTGACCGTATTTTTGTTGAAAATTTTACAAAGAGGTGACGATGCCGGGAAGTGCTTTCGAACCAGCGTCAGGAACCTCTGGCCGATACTGATAGACACGGATTTGTTGAATGGCGGGTTGTACCAAATTATGTTTCTCTTTCTTTCTCGGCTCTTCTTTGCCTGGCCGCCGTTGTTGAATGTTAGTGCGGCCGGGAATCTGCTGGCTGATAGTGCTTCCCTGTAGGCCGGTGCAGCATTGCTGAAGGCCAATTGAGCAATCAGAGTAGCCTACATGAGAACCCCGTGACTCACAGCAGATTGTGCATCATATTATGTAACAATGTAGCATACAGACTGCTGATGGATAGCACATATGAATGTCTGACCTTGTCTTTACCTTCACACAGACTGGTGGCCTTCCTGTTCATAGCGCTGCTGGGACTGGTTGTCTGGAAGTCGTCAAGTATCTACTAGATGTCCAGCCCGACACGATCTCCGTAAAGAACGAAGTGAGTTAAGAAATCTCTGGAACTGAAATGGTCATGAATCCATAAACAAAGAGTGTGCACCTTTCGCAAATGAGTGCAGGCGCGTACACATGGGGTAGGTTCATGTTGCCCCGGAAACCCCTCTAATGTACTAAACGCCTCTCTTTGCTATGATGGTTTCAATGCAGTTTTGTGAGTGCACCGGTGAGCGTGCAACGCTAGTACATGTACATGTATGTAGAAGTACTCACTGCAGGCTGTAACCTTGACGATCAACGAGTCGTAGTTCTAGTTTAGTGTAGAGCACGTAGTCATGGCTTTCACTCGAGAGTCGCGACTTCACGGTGTAGTCCTTACAATCATAGGCATACTCACGGCTCTACTGTCTGTCCATGTCCGCGGTAAGGGGAAGCTAGGGACCCGGTAACCTGCTAGCCACACATGCGGCAATCTATGCCATCGTGGTGTGGAGTTTTGACCGTTGTCCACTAGCAGGTGACTAAGTGACGCCAGTGCAGGAGCGCGAGAGGTAGAACTTATTCTGGTTTCGACATTTTGATACTAATTCTGATTTTTGTTAATGAACGTGGCTGCGTCAGCGCGGATGATTTTGACCTTCTCTGCTAAGCACAGGCCGCATGTTTTCGAGATGTTGCTGTAGGTCTTTGCTCTGTCGACGATGGACCATCTGATGTCGTACTCTTCACCCTGGTCCTGCAGCTGCGTGCTTTTGCGGTACTTTTCGTATCTCATAGTCGTGAGGTGGTTGCTATAGCGCGTCTTGAACGGTATCTCGCAAAGCCCGAATAACCGCCTCTCGTTACCTGAGCTCCGGGCCGTGACGTTCGGTTGATAGACCGCCCTTTCCTGCAAACACCGACCGTCCAGAGGGCAAGAGGGTTTAGCTCGGCAGTTGCATTTCTCTGCTGGTTTTCGCACGTCGGCCGGGGCCGTCACTTTCTGGTTGTGCCCCTTGATTATGCAGGCCATGTTGGGCATACACGAGTAGCTGACCTTGACCGTATTTTTGTTGAAAATGTTACAAAGAGGTGACGATGCGGGAAGTGCTTTCGAACCAGCGTCAGGAACCTCTGGCCGATACTGATAGACACGGATTTGTTGAATGGCGGGTTGTACCAAATTATGTTTCTCTTTCTTTCTCGGCTCTTCTTTGCCTGGCCACCGTTGTTGAATGTTAGTGCGGCCGGGAATCTGCTGGCTGATAGTGCTTCCCTGTAGGCCGGTGCAGCATTGCTGAAGGCCTCTTGGTCGCACGAAATGCTCGACACTCGCTTGTGGATCATTGCCGGCAATTTCTGTATGATTGTCGGAGGGTGGTTCGACTCGGTGTTGATGTATCTCGGTGCGTCGTTCGGTTTTCGGTACGGCTCGTAGCGGCCACTTGCGAGGTTGAAGGTAACGTCAAGGAAGTTGACCGTTCTCTGGTTTGTGTTGATCGTGATTCTCAACCCGGAGTCTCAGAACAGCTTCGTGATGGCTTTGCGGATGGAGTCTGCCTCGTGTCCCGTCATGTTTTTGAAAACTGCGAGGCCATCGTCGCGGTCCAGGCCTATGCTGGCGGGGCCGAACATATCTGCAAGACGCTTCAGCAGGAACGCCCCTACCAGTTGGCACACTTCCGCACCATCATAGCTCCCTATGGTGACGTCGAATAAGCCTACTCTGTCCTGCTTGGCCCATACCTTGTGAAGAGAAGAGTATGACATCAGATGGTCCATCGTCGACAGAGCCAAGACCTACAGCAACATCTCAAAAACATGCGGCCTGTGCTTAGCGGAGAAGGTCAAAATCATCCGCGCTGACGCAGCCACGCTCCTCAACAAAAATCAGAATTAGTAGCAAAATGTCGACACCAGAATAAGTTCTCCCTCTCGCGCTACGGCACTGGCGTCACTTAGTCACCTGCATGCTGCCGCCGGCACCTTCCTGCCGCCACCAGGCCCAGGCCAGGGCCTGCCTGCCTGCCCGCCGTCACTATAACTAACGTGTTACTTGACTGTCACCCCTCCATCTCTCCCTCCTTTTATCACCTCCCAAGTAATAACCGACACCATCCGCACCATATCTCTCTAACTAATGTATCACTTGAAATGTCACACTAATGTCGCGCTTTTGCCACCTTTGCGCGCTATGCCACCTGCTTTTTCATGCTTTTTCGCGCTTCACTCACCTTGTGCGCCCTTTTTTAGCTACCTGCCTGGGGATAAATTTGGACCCAGGTGATGTTCAGGTTATCAGTTGTCTGAGGATTGCCTTAGCTTTGCTATTTGCATGAAACGCAGCGTTACAACAATGACCTAGCCGGCTGTCTCTGTTCTCTTCTGCTTTTTGTGGTAATGCTCCATCCTTGTGGTGTTGAGCACTCTAGGCAATCTGGGAACTCTTGCTATTGTAATGAAATGACTTATAAACAGCCACTACAGATCAATCAGGAGTGCATGATGAGTCGCTTCGGGTCCCTGAACAGTCTTCCAGATCGCATTGTCTGGCGGTCAGTGCGGGCATGTTGGGACTGTGGCGACCGTTGCACCAACACCGGGATCTTTGATGGTGTGGTCTTGGGGACAGTCGATGACGGTCCAGGTAGCGTCGGGCTCGGTGGTGGGGATCATGCCTGGTCTTGTTCATCAGCTGCAGTCGGCGGTGGGTGTCGGTTAAACTGTCGATTCGGCTGCAGAACTCTTTCGTTGCAGTAGACTTCATAACCGCGGCTTGACGTCTTGTCGGTGATTACTGCAGGCTCCCATTCTCTCGACTTGCCGTTGATCAGTTGAAAGAAAACCTTTGTGCCAGACGTACGTGGCAAGGTCTTTCCCTCGGTGGTCGAGATGCTCAGCTGCCTTCTGTCTTCTGATCTCCTTCATCTGAATGTCGGCTGACATATCTGATGCAGGGATGAGTCGATCATTCAGGGTTGGCAACACAGTTCTGGTTCGGCGACCAAAAAGCCGTTGCACGGGACTGGTGCTGAGACCTTCAGTGGGTGTGTTGCGGACATTCAGTAACCCGAAGTATGGGTCGGACTTCCCCTTGTTGCACTTTTTCATGAACTTCTTCAAATCTTTGACTGCAGCCTCAGCAGCACAATTAGACTTGCTGCTGTCTGGGCTGTGGTGCACATGCAAGAATTCGCACTTCTCGAAATGCTACTTGATATTGCTCATGTGTACCCGTACATTGCAGTTTAAAGGAGTTATGTACGTAGACTATCCATGCCTTATGTAGTGTGATAGACCATTCTCAGTGCCAGAAGGTAATGGCATTATTTGGTAGTAGCAAGGTACATTCTCTTGGTGCCATTTTTCCATTGCAGGATGTTTGACTGAGTGTGTATGTGTGTGTGTGTGTGTGTGTGTGTGTGTGTGTGTGTGTGTGCGCGCATGCGTGTGCGTGTGCGTGTGTGTGTGTGTGTGTGTGTGTTTAGAAGCCACTGTAATGTATTGCCAGACGCTAATGTGCTGCAGTGGTTTTTACACATGAATGTCTGACCTTGTCTTTACCTGCACACAGGCTGGTGACCTTCCTGTTCATAGCGCTGCTAAGACTGGTTGTCTGGAAGTCGTCAAGTATCTACTAGATGTCCAGCCGGACATGGTCTCCGTAAGGAACACAGTGAGTTAAGAAATCTGTGGAACTGAAATGGTCATGAGTCCATGAGCAAAGAGTGTGCACTTTTGGCAAATGAGTGCAGACGTGTACGCATTGGGTAGGTTCATGTTGCCCCGTAAACCCCTCTAATGTACTAAACGCCCCTCTTTGGAATGATGGTTTCAATGCAGTTTTGTGAGTGCACTGGTGAGCACGCAACGCTAGTACATGTACATGTATGTAGCAGTACTCACTGCATGTTGTAATCTCGACGATAAACGAGTCATTGTGCTAGTATAGTGTAGACCACGTAGTCATGGCTTTCACTCGAGAGTCGCATTTCACGGTGTAGTCCTTACAATCATAGGCAAACTCATGGCTCTACTGTCTGTCCATGTCCGTGTTATGGCGAAGCTAGGGACCCGGGAACCTGCCAGCCACACATGCGGCAATTTATGCCATTGTGGTGTGGAGTTTTGACCGTTGTCCAGTGTCGTGTTGAAGCAAAAAAGACGAAAAGCATGTTCCGCAATTGCAATTTTTCCCGCTGAGAGGAGCTGAGTGTAGTCTGGGACAGTAGACGGTGCCCCTTGAGAAGCTGTGCTGGGCTGAATCCGCATTCGAAGGGTGTTGAGCGATAGCTTAGCAGAGGGTGATAAGGGTCAGACCCTTTCACTAGTACAGACTTGACCGACTCTGACCGTATGCTCGGCAAGGTCGTTGCCCTGTGGATGCAGCGGACTGCTGGTGTAGGGATGTGTGCCATACTGCTGCAGGAAAGTTGCATACTGTACGCTCTGGACGGTGGATGGAGGAAATCTAGAACTCCAAAATAATGTTCTATTTCATTTTGATACGTGTAATGTCCGCCTTGCATATTCTGCTTATGACGACTTTAAAAATGCTCATTCAGAGGCATGTACGTACACGATCATCAGGAACCCGCGTGGACCCAGTTACAATCTTACTCGGCATCAAAACTGCACACTGGTCTGGAAATGAGTAAATGCCTACTGGCTAACAAAGCAATATCGACAAGCAACTATGGCTGCCTTAAAAAAAACAATTCTAAATAGTGGTCCCGGAGCTCTTAGCGCCTGAATTTCTCATATTATATTCTGGTCGGCTCCATAAGCTGGCATACAAAGTTCGTAACTTTGTCAGTAACTGTTTCTGACTGTAACTGTTAACTGTAAAGTGAGTAACTGTTACTGACTAGGCTCCCCCCCCCCCCCCACACATGTACTGACTAGTAAACAACTATATAGTCACAACTGTCGTAAAAGCAGAGACATGGACAAATGCTACCAAGAGATGCAGGCTTGTAGCCTTTTACCAACCGACTAAGGACCAGCCCTGCATCCTGGGAGGCCATTAGATCCGGGAAAACCTCTTTTCTATGGACCAATCCCCTGCCTGGTGTTGAAACATGCGTCGGGGTTTTCCAGTACTTGCTGGCAAACAGTTTTGTCAACAGAGTCCGAGTAGTCTACATCAGGTTGTCTCACCTGACACTGAGTTGTACATCATATCCAAGATACGTACTTTTCTTATGGATAACACATAGGAATGCCTGGTCATGTGTCTTACCTGTACACAGAGAGGTGAACTTCCTGTTCATCGTGCTGCCAGGAGTAGACATCTGGAAGTCCTCAAGTATCTACTAGATCTCCAACCAGACATGATCTCGGTAAAGTGCCACGTAAGTTGAGAAATCTGTATCGTAGACTCCCTTTACTGTAGTCAGTCACTCTTACAGCACTCTTGAGGATCACTGTGCTAGCTGTATGTCTATTGGTGGGAGAATATCAAGCTGATACAACAGCAACCTCACCGATCGTTTGCTGCAAAAGTAGCTGTTGTTACCTGACCAGTCTTATAACCAACAATGCTACAGTCGCGTGAATGGCACTTAGAGTAATAGAACAGGGAGTAGTAAGAACAGAGCAATGGCAAAAGGCACCAGTTGCCAGAAGCGTAAGATCAGACTGAGTAGCGAAAGTCTGAAACTCCAGAAGGAGCCAAATCGCAATCCACACATGATGTCACATGCGCATGCGTGGGGCACACATTGAACACACGTGTACGTGAACGCAGTACACGTGACGTCTCCCTTTCTTTACAATAAGAGAGTGTCCGGGCCAATCAAATACATGTATATGGCGGCATAATAATTATGAGTCAAATGAAATAGCTCTATCTAATAAGAGCTGGCTTGAGCGTATGTAATGCAGCACGCACATACATAATGAAACGACTCACAAAGGCAGAAGAGAATAGAGACAGCCGGCTAGGTCATTGTTGTAACACTGCGTTTCATGCACATAGCAAAGCTACGGCAATCCTCAGATAACTGATACCCTGCACATCATCTGGGACCAAATTTATACCCAGGCAGGTAGCTAAAACCGGGCCCGTAAAAGGAGGGGTGACAGTCAAGTAACACGTTAGTTATAGTGACGGCGGGTAGGCAGGCAGGCCCTGGCCTGGGCCTGGTGGCGGCAGGCAGGTGCCGGCGGCGGCATGCAGGTGACTAAGTGACGCCAGTGCAGTAGCGCGAGAGGTAGAACTTATTCTGGAGTCGACATTTTGATACTAATTCTGATTTTTGTTGAGGAACGTGGCTGCGTCAGCGCGGATGATTTTGACCTCTGCTAAGCACAGGCCGCATGTTTTTGAGATGTTGCTGTAGGTCTTTGCTCTGTCGACGATGGACCATCTTATGTCGTACTCTTCACCCTGGTCCTGCAGCTGCGTGATTTTGCGGTACTTTTCGTATCTCATAGTCGTGAGGTGGTTGCTATAGCGCGTCTTGAACGGTATCTCGCAAAGCCTGAATAACCGCCTCTCGTCACCTGAGCTCCGGGGTGTGACGTTCGGTTAATGGACCGCCCTTTCCTGCAAACACCGGCCGTCCAGAGGGCAAGAGGGTTTAGCTCGGCAGTTGCATTCCTCTGCTGGTTTTCGCACGTCGGCCGGGGCCGTCACTTTCTGGTTGTGCCCCTTGATTATGCAGGCCATGTTGGGCATACACGAGTAGCTGACCTTGACCGTATTTTTGTTGAAAATTTTACAAAGAGGTGACGATGCCGGGAAGTGCTTTCGAACCAGCGTCAGGAACCTCTGGCCGATACTGATAGACACGGATTTGTTGAATGGCGGGTTGTACCAAATTATGTTTCTCTTTCTTTCTCGGCTCTTCTTTGCCTGGCCGCCGTTGTTGAATGTTAGTGCGGCCGGGAATCTGCTGGCTGATAGTGCTTCCCTGTAGGCCGGTGCAGCATTGCTGAAGGCCTCTTGGTCGCACGAAATGCTCGACACTCGCTTGTGGATCATTGCCGGCAATTTCTATATGATTTTTCGGAGGGTGGTTCGAATCGGTGTTGATGTATCTCGGTGCGTCGTTCGGTTTTCGGTACGGCTCGTAGCGGCCACTTGCGAGGTTGAAGGTAACGTCAAGGAAGTTGACCGTTCTCTGGTTTGTGCTGATCGTGATTCTCAACCCGGAGTCTCTGAACAGCTTCGTGATGGCTTTGCGGATGGAGTCTGCCTCGTGTCCCGTCATGTTCTTGAAAACTGCGAGGCCATCGTCGCGGTACAGGCCTATGATGGCGGGGCCGAACATATCTGCAAGACGCTTCAGCAGGAACGCCCCTACCAGTTGACACACTTCCGCACCATCATAGCTCCCCATGGTGACGTCGAATAAGCCTACTCTGTCCTTCTTGGCCCATACCTTGTGAAGAGAAGAGTACGACATCAGATGGTCCATTGTCGACAGAGCAAAGACCTTCAGCAACATCTCAAAAACATGCTGCCTGTGCTTAGCGGAGGAGGTCAAAATCATCCGCGCTGACAAAGCCACGCTCCTCAACAATTATCAGAATTAGTATCAAAATGTCGACACCAGAATAAGTTCTACCTCTCGCGCTACGGCACTGGCGTCACTTAGTCACTTGCATGCCGCCGCCGGCACCTTCCTGCCTGCCTACCCGCCGTCACTATAACTAACGTGTTACTTGACTGTCACCCCTCCATCCCTCCCTCCTTTTATCACCTCCCAAGTAATAACCGACACCATCCACACCATATCTCTCTAACTAATGTATCACTTGAAATGTCACACTAATGTCGCGCTTTTGCCACCTTTGCGCGCTATACCACCTGCTTTTTCGTGCTTTTTCGCGCTTCACTCACTTTGTGCGCCCTGCCTGGGTATAAATTTGAACCCAGATGATGTACAGGTTATCAGTTGTCTGAGGATTGCCATAGATTTGCTATTTGCATGAAGCGCAGCATTACAACAATGACCTAGCCGGCCGTCTCTGTTCTCTTCTGCCTTTTGTGGTAATGCTCCATCTTTGTGGTGTTGAGCACTCCAGGCAATCTGGGAACTCTCGCTATTGTAATGAAATGACTTATAAACAGCCACTACAGATCAATCAGTAGTGCATGATCAGTCGCTTAGGGTCCCTGACCAGTCTTCGAGATCGCATTGTCTGGCTGTCAGTGCGGGCACCTTGGGACTGTGGGGACCGTTGCACCAACACCGGGATCTTTGATGGTGTGGTCTTGGGGATAGTCGATGACGGTCCAGGTAGCTTCGGGCTCGGTGGTGGGGATCATGCCTGGTCTTGTTCATCAGCTGCAGTCGGCGGTGGGTGTCGGTTAAACTGTCGATTCGGCTGCAGAACTCTTTCGTTGCAGTAGACTTAATAACCGCGGCTTGACGTCTTGTCTTGTCGGTGATTACTGCAGGCTCCCATTCTCTCGACTTGCCGTTGATCAGTTGAAAAAAAACCTTTGTGCCAGACGTGCGTGGCGGAAGGTCTTTCCTTCGGTGGTCGAGATGCTCAGCTGCCTTCTGTCTTCTGATCTCCTTCTTCTGAATGTCGGCTGACATATCTGCTGCAGGGATGAGTCAATCATTCAGGGTTGGCAACACAGTTCTGGTTCGGCGACCAAAAAGCCGTTGCACGGGACTGGTGCTGAGACCTTCAGTGGGTGTGTTGCGGACATTAAGTAACCCGAAGTATGGGTCGGACTTCTCCTCGTCGCACTTTTTCATGAACTTCTTCGAATCTTTGACTGCAGCATCAGCAGCACGATTAGATTTGCTGCTGTCTGGGCTGCGGTGCACATGCAAGAATACGCACTTCTCGAAATGCTACTTGATATTGCTCATGTGTACCCGTACATTGCAGTTTAAAGGAGTTATGTACGTAGACTATCCATGCCTTATGTAGTGTGATAGACCATTCTCAGTGCCAGAAGGTAATGGCATTATTTGGTAGTAGCAAGGTACATTCTCTTGGTGCCATTTTTCCATTGCAGGATGTTTGACTGAGTGTGTGTGTGTGTGAGTGTGTGTGTGTGTGTGTGTGTGTGTGTGTGTGTGTGTGGGTGTGTGTGTGTGTGCGTATGTGTGTGTGTGTGTGTTTAGAAGCCACTGTAATGTATTGCCAGACGCTAATGTGCTGCAGTGGTTTTTACACATATGAATGTCTGACCTTGTCTTAACCTGCACACAGGCTGGTGACCTTCCTGTTCATAGCGCTGCTGAGACTGGTCGTCTGGAAGTCGTCAAGTATCTACTAGATGTCCAGCCGGACATGGTCTCCGTAAAGAACACAGTGAGTTAAGAAATCTGTGGAACTGAAATGGTCATGAGTCCATGAGCAAAGAGTGTGCACTTTTGGCAAATGAGTGCAGACGTGTACGCATGGGGTAGGTTCATGTTGCCCCGGAAACCCCTCTAATGTACTAAACGCCCCTCTTTGAAATGATGGTTTCAATGCAGTTTTGTGAGTGCACTGGTGAGCACGCAACGCTAGTACATGTACATGTATGTAGCAGTACTCACTGCAGGTTGTAATCTCGACGATCAACGAGTCATTGTGCTAGTATAGTGTAGACCACGTAGTCATGGCTTTCACTCGAGAGTCGCGACTTCACGGTATAGTCCTTAGGCATACTCACGGCTCTACTGTCTGTCCATGTCCGTGGTATGGCGAAGCTAGGGACCCGGTAACCTGCTAACCACACATGCGGCAATCTATGCCATCGTGGTGTGGAGTTTTGACCGTTGTCCAGTGTCTTGTTGAAGCAAAAAGGACGAAAAGCATGTTCCGCAATTGCAATTTTTCACGCTGAGTGTAGTCTGGGACAGTAGACGGTGCCCCTTGAGAAGCTGTGCTGGGCTGAATCCGCATTCTAAGGGTGTTGAGCGATAGCTTAGCAGAGGGTGATAAGGGTCAGACCCTTTCACTAGTACAGACTTGACCGACTCTGACCGTATGCTCGGCAAGGTCGTTGCCCTGTGGATGCAGCGGACTGCTGGTGTAGTGATGTGTGCCATACTGCTGCAGGAAAGTTGCATACTGTACGCTCTGGACGGTGGATGGAGGAAATCTAGAACTCCAAAATAATGTTCTATTTCATTTTGATACGTGTAATGTCCGCCTTGCATATTCTGCTTATGACGACTTTAAAAATGCTCATTCAGAGGCATGTACGTACACGATCATCAGGAACCCGCGTGGACCGAGTTACAATCTTACTCGGCATCAAAACTGCACACTGGTCTGGAAATGAGTAAATGCCTACTGGCTAACAAAGCAATATCGACAAGCAACTATGGCTGCCTTAAAAAAAAACAATTCTAAATAGTGGTCCCGGAGCTCTTAGCGCCTGAATTTCTCATATTATATTCTGGTCGGCTCCATAAGCTGGCATACAAAGTTCGTAACTTTGTCAGTAACTGTTTCTGACTGTAACTGTTAACTGTAAAGTGAGTAACTGTTACTGACTAGGCTCCCCCCCCCCCCCACACATGTACTGACTAGTAAACAACTATATAGTCACAACTGTCGTAAAAGCAGAGACATGGACAAATGCTACCAAGAGATGCAGGCTTGTAGCCTTTTACCAACCGACTAAGGACCAGCCCTGCATCCTGGGAGGCCATTAGATCCGGGAAAACCTCTTTTCTATGGACCAATCCCCTGCCTGGTGTTGAAACATGCGTCGGGGTTTTCCAGTACTTGCTGGCAAACAGTTTTGTCAACAGAGTCCGAGTAGTCTACATCAGGTTGTCTCACCTGACACTGAGTTGTACATCATATCCAAGATACGTACTTTTCTTATGGATAACACATAGGAATGCCTGGTCATGTGTCTTACCTGTACACAGAGAGGTGAACTTCCTGTTCATCGTGCTGCCAGGAGTAGACATCTGGAAGTCCTCAAGTATCTACTAGATCTCCAACCAGACATGATCTCGGTAAAGTGCCACGTAAGTTGAGAAATCTGTATCGTAGACTCCCTTTACTGTAGTCAGTCACTCTTACAGCACTCTTGAGGATCACTGTGCTAGCTGTATGTCTATTGGTGGGAGAATATCAAGCTGATACAACAGCAACCTCACCGATCGTTTGCTGCAAAAGTAGCTGTTGTTACGTGACCAGTCTTATAACCAACAATGCTACAGTCGCGTGAATGGCACTTAGAGTATTAACAGGGAGTAGTAAGAACAGAGCAATGGCAAAAGGCACCAGTTGCCAGAAGCGTAAGATCAGACTGAGTAGCGAAAGTCTGAAACTCCAGAAGGAGCCAAATCGCAATCCACACATGATGTCACATGCGCATGCGTGGGGCACACATTGAACACACGTGTACGTGAACGCAGTACACGTGACGTCTCCCTTTCTTTACAATAAGAGAGTGTCCGGGCCAATCAAATACATGTATATGGCGGCATAATAATTATGAGTCAAATGAAATAGCTCTATCTAATAAGAGCTGGCTTGAGCGTATGTAATGCAGCACGCACATACATAATGAAACGACTCACAAAGGCAGAAGAGAATAGAGAAAGCCGGCTAGGTCATTGTTGTAACACTGCGTTTCATGCACATAGCAAAGCTACGGCAATCCTCAGATAACTGATACCCTGCACATGCATGTTGAAACATGCGTTGGGGTTTTCCAGTACTTGCTGGCAAACAGTTTTGTCAACTGACTCCGAGTAGTCTATATCAGGTTGCCTCACCTGACAGTGAGTTGTACATCATATCCAAGATACGTACTTTTCTGATGGATAACACATAGGAATGCCTGGTCATGTCTCTTACCTGTACACAGAATGGCGACCTTCCTGTTCATCGTGCTGTCGCCAATGGACATCTGGAAGTCATCAAGTATCTACTAGATCTCCAACCAGACACGATCTCTGTAAAGAACAACGTAAGTTGAGAAATCTGTATCGTAGACTCCCTTTACTGTAGTCAGTCACTCTTACAGCACTCTTGAGGATCACTGTGCTAGCTGTATGTCTATTGGTGGGAGAATATCAAGCTGATACAACAGCAACCTCACCGATCGTTTGCTGCAAAAGTAGCTGTTGTTACGTGACCAGTCTTATAACCAACAATGCTACAGTCGCGTGAATGGCACTTAGAGTAATAGCAGGGAGTAGTAAGAACAGAGCAATGGCAAAAGGCACCAGTTGCCAGAAGCGTAAGAGCAGACTGAGTAGCGAAAGTCTGAAACTCCAGAAGGAGCCAAAACGCGAAATGCTACTTGATATTGCTCATGTGTACCTGTACATTTCAGTTTAAAGGAGGTATTTACGTAGACTATCCATGCCTTCTGTAGTGTGATAGACCATTCTCAGTGCCAGAAGGTAATGGCATTATTTTGTTGTAGCAAGGTACATTCTCTTCGCGCCATTTTTCCATTGCAGGATGTTTAACTGAGTGTGTGTGAGTGTGTGTGTGTGTGTGTGTGTGTGTGTGTGTGTGTGTGCGCGCGCATACGTGTGCATTTGCGTGTGTGTGTGTGTGTGTTTAGAAGCCACTGTAATGTATTGCCAGACGCTAATGTGCTGCAGTGGTTTTTACACATATGAATGTCTGACCTTGTCTTTACCTGCACACAGGCTGGTGACCTTCCTGTTCATAGCGCTGCTGATGCTGGTTGTCTGGAAGTCGTCAAGTATCTACTAGATGTCCAGCCGGACATGGTACGCTCGGCGAGGTCGTTGCCCTGTGGATGCAGCGGACTGCTGGTGTAGTGATGTGTGCCATACTGCTGCAGGAAAGTTGCATACTGTACGCTCTGGACAGTGGGTTTGAGGAAATCTAGAACTCCAAAATAATGTTCTATTTCATTTTAATACGTGTAATGTCCACCTTGCATATTCTGCTTATGACGACTTTAAAAATGCTCATTCAGAGGCATGTACGTACACGATCATCAGAAACCCGCGTGGACCCAGTTACAATCTTACTCGGCATCAAAACTGCACACTGGTCTGGAAATGAGTAAATGCCTACTGGCTAACAAAGCAATATTGGCAAGCAACTATGGCTGCCTTAAAAAGAACAATTCTAAATAGTGGTCTCGGAGCTCTTAGCGCCTGTATTTCTCCATATTCTGGTCCGCTCCATATGCTGGCATACAAAGTTCGTAACTTTGTCAGTAACTGCTACTGACTGTGACTGTTAACTGTAAAGTCAGTAACTGTTTCTTACTAGCCCCCCCCCCCCCCCCCCCCGTGCATGTACTGACTAGCAAACAACTATATCATCACAACTGTCGTAAAAGCGGAGACATGTACAAATGCTACCAAGAGATGCAGCCTTTCAGCCTTTTACCAACCGACTAAGGACCAGCCCTGCTTCCTGGGAGGCCATTAGATCCGGGAAAACCTCTTTTCTATGGACCAATCCCGTGCCTGGTGTTGAAACATGCGTTGGGGGTTTCCAGTACTTGCTGGCAAACAGTTTTGTCAACTGACTCCGAGTAGTCTATATCAGGTTGCCTCACCTGACAGTGAGTTGTACATCATATCCAAGATACATACTTTTCTGATGGATAACACATAGGAATGCCTGGTCATGTGTCTTACCTGTACACAGAACGGCGACCTTCCTGTTCATCGTGCTGTCGCCAATGGACATCTGGAAGTCATCAAGTATCTACTAGATCTCCAACCAGACACGATCTCTGTAAAGAACAACGTAAGTTGAGAAATCTGTATTGTAGACTTCCTTTACTGTAGTCAGTCACTCTTACAGCACTCTTGAGGATCACTGTGCTAGCTGTATGTCTATTGGTGGGAGAATATCAAGCTGATACAACAGCAACCTCACCGATCGTTTGCTGCAAAAGTAGCTGTTGTTACCTGACCAGTCTTATAACCAACAATGCTACAGTCGCGTGAATGGCACTTAGAGTAATAGCAGGGAGTAGTAAGAACAGAGCAATGGCAAAAGGCACCAGTTGCCAGAAGCGTAAGAGCAGACTGAGTAGCGAAAGTCTGAAACTCCAGAAGGAGCCAAATCGCAATCCACACATGATGTCACATGCGCATGCGTGGGGCACACATTGAACACACGTGTACGTGCACGCAGTACACGTGACGTCTCCCTTTCTTTAAAATAAGAGAGTGTCCGGGCCAATCAAATACATGTATATGACGGCATAATATGAGTCAAATGAAATAACTCTATCTAGTAAGAGCTGGCTTGAGCGTATGTAATGCAGCACGCACATACATAATGAAACCACTCACAAAGGCAGAAGAGAATAGAGACAGCCGGCTAGGTCATTGTTGTAACACTGCGTTTCATGCACATAGCAAAGCTAAGGCAATCCTCAGAAAACCGATACCCTGCACATCATCTGGGTCCAAATTAATACCCAGGCAGGTAGCTAAAACCGGGCCCGTAAAAGGAGGGGTGACAGTCAAGTAACACGTTAGTTATAGTGACGGCGGGTAGGCAGGCAGGTGCCGGCGGCGGCATGCAGGTGGCTAAGTGACGCCAGTGCAGTAGCGCGAGAGGTAGAACTTATTCTGGTTTCGACATTTTGATACTAATTCTGATTTTTGTTGAGGAACGTGGCTGCGTCAGCGCGGATGATTTTGACCTTTTCTGCTAAGCACAGGCTGCATGTTTTTGAGATGTTGCTGTAGGTCTTTGCTCTGTCGACGATGGACCATCTTATGTCGTACTCTTCACCCTGGTCCTGCAGCTGCGTGCTTTTGCGGTACTTTTCGTATCTCATAGTCGTGATCTGGTTGCTATAGCGCGTCTTGAACGGTATCTCGCAAAGCCCGAATAACCGCCTCTCGTCACCTGAGCTCCAGGCCGTGACGTTCGGTTGATAGACCGCCCTTTCCTGCAAACACGGGCCGTCCAGAGGGCAAGAGGGTTTAGCTCGGCAGTTGCATTCCTCTGCTGGTTTTCGCATGTCGGCCGGGGCCGTCACTTTCTAGTTGTGCCCCTTGATTAGGCAGGCCATGTTGGGCATACACGAGTAGCTGACCTTGACCGTATTTTTGTTGAAAATTTTGCAAAGAGGTGACGATGCTGGGAAGTGCTTTCGAACCAGCGTCAGGAACCTCTGGCCGATACTGATAGACACGGATTTGTTGAATGGCGGGGTGTACCAAATTATGTTTCTCTTTCTTTCTCGGCTCTTCTTTGCGTGGCCACCGTTGTTGAATGTTAGTGCGGCCGGGAATCTGCTGGCTGATAGTGCTTCCCTGTAGGCCGGTGCAGCATTGCTGAAGGCCTCTTGGTCGCACGAAATGCTCGACACTCGCTTGTGGATCATTGCCGGCAATTTCTATATGATTGTCGGAGGGTGGTTCGACTCGGTGTTGATGTATCTCGGTGCGTCGTTCGGTTTTCGGTACGGCTCGTAGCGGCCACTTGCGAGGTTGAAGGTAACGTCAAGGAAGTTGACCGTTCTCTGGTTTGTGCTGATCGTGATTCTCAACCCGGAGTCTCTGAACAGCTTCGTGATGGCTTTGCGGATGGAGTCTGCCTCGTGTCCGTCATGTTTTTGAAAACTGCGAGGCCATCGTCGCGGTACAGGCCTATGCTGGCGGGGCCGAACATATCTGCAAGACGCTTCAGCAGGAACGCCCCTACCAGTTGGCACACTTCCGCACCATCATAGCTCCCTATGGTGACGTCGAATAAGCCTACTCTGTCCTGCTTGGCCCATACCTTGTGAAGAGAAGAGTACGACATCAGATGGTCCATCGTCGACAGAGCCAAGACCTACAGCATCATCTCAAAAACATGCGGCCTGTGCTTAGCGGAGAAGGTCAAAATCATCCGCGCTGATGCAGCCACGCTCCTCAACAAAAATCAGAATTAGTATCAAAATGTCGACACCAGAATAAGTTCTACCTCTCGCGCTACGGCACTGGCGTCACTTAGTCACCTGCATGCCGCCGCCGGCACCTTCCTGCCGCCACCAGGCCCAGGCCAGGGCCTGCCTGCCTGCCCGCCGTCACTATAACTAACGTGTTACTTGACTGTCACCCCTCCATCTCTCCCTCCTTTTATCACCTCCCAAGTAATAACCGACACCATCCGCACCATATCTCCCTAACTAATGTATCACTTGAAATGTCACACTAATGTCGCACTTTTGCCACCTTTGCGCGCTATGCCACCTGCTTTTTCGTGCTTTTTCGCGCTTCACTCACTTTGCGCGCCGTTTTTTAGCTACCTGCCTGGGTATAAATTTGGACCCAGGTGAAGTTCAGGTTATCAGTTGTCTTAGGATTGCCTTAGCTTTGCTATTTGCATGAAACGCAGCGTTACAACAATGACCTAGCCGGCTGTCTCTGTTCTCTTCTGCCTTTTGTGGTAATGCTCCATCCTTGTGGTGTTGAGCACTCTAGGCAATCTGGGAACTCTTGCTATTGTTATGAAATGACTTATAAACAGCCACTACAGATCAATCAGGAGTGCATGATGAGTCGCTTCGGGTCCCTGAACAGTCTTCCAGATCGCATTGTCTGGCTGTCAGTGCGGGCATGTTGGGACTGTGGCGACCGTTGCACCAACACCGGGATCTTTGATGGTGTGGTCTTGGGGACAGTCGATGACGGTCCAGGTAGCGTCGGGCTCGGTGGTGGGGATCATGCCTGGTCTTGTTCATCAGCTGCAGTCGGCGGTGGGTGTCGGTTAAACTGTCGATTCGGCTGCAGAACTCTTTCGTTGCAGTAGACTTCATAACCGCGGCTTGACGTCTTGTCGGTGATTACTGCAGGCTCCCATTCTCTCGACTTGCCGTTGATCAGTTGAAAGAAAACCTTTGTGCCAGACGTACGTGGCGGAAGGTCTTTCCTTCGGTGGTCGAGATGCTCAGCTGCCTTCTGTCTTCTGATCTCCTTCTTCTGAATGTCGGCTGACATATCTGATGCAGGGATGAGTCGATCATTCAGGGTTGGCAACACAGTTCTGGTTCGGCGACCAAAAAGCCGTTGCACGGGACTGGTGCTGAAACCTTCAGTGGGTGTGTTGCGGACATTCAGTAACCCGAAGTATGGGTCGGACTTCTTCTCGTTGCACTTTTTCATGAACTTCTTCGAATCTTTGACTGCAGCCTCAGCAGCACGATTAGATTTGCTGCTGTCTGGGCTGCGGTGCACATGCAAGAATTCACACTTCTCGAAATGCTACATGATATTGCTCATGTGTACCCGTACATTGCAGTTTAAAGGAGTTATGTACGTAGACTATCCATGCCTTATGTAGTGTGTTAGACCATTCTCAGTGCCAGAAGGTAATGGCATTATTTGGTAGTAGCAAGGTACATTCTCTTGGTGCCATTTTTCCATTGCAGGATGTTTGACTGAGTGTGTATGTGTGTGTGTGTGTGTGTGTGTGTGTGTGTGTGTGTGTGTGTGTGTGCGCGTGCGTGTGTGTGTGCGTGTGTGTGTGTGTGTGTGTGTGTGTGTGTGTGTGTGTGTGTTTAGAAGCCACTGTAATGTCCTGCCAGACGCTAATGGGCTGCAGTGGTTTTTACACATATGAATGTCTGACCTTGTCTTTACCTGCACACAGGCTGGTGACCTTCCTGTTCATAGCGCTGCTGATGCGGGTTGTCTGGAAGTCGTCAAGTATCTACTAGATGTCCAGCCGGACATGGTCTCCGTAAAGAACACAGTGAGTTAAGAAATCTGTGGAACTGAAATGGTCATGAGTCCATGAGCAAAGAGTGTGCACTTTTGGCAAATGAGTGCAGACGTGTACGCATTGGGTAGGTTCATGTTGCCCCGTAAACCCCTCTAATGTACTAAACGCCCCTCTTTGGAATGATGGTTTCAATGCAGTTTTGTGAGTGCACTGGTGAGCACGCAACGCTAGTACATGTACATGTATGTAGCAGTACTCCCTGCATGTTGTAATCTCGACGATAAACGAGTCATTGTGCTAGTATAGTGTAGACCACGTAGTCATGGCTTTCACTCGAGAGTCGCATTTCACGGTGTAGTCCTTACAATCATAGGCAAACTCATGGCTCTACTGTCTGTCCATGTCCGTGGTATGGCGAAGCTAGGGACCCGGGAACCTGCCAGCCACACATGCGGCAATTTATGCCATTGTGGTGTGGAGTTTTGACCGTTGTCCAGTGTCGTGTTGAAGCAAAAAAGACGAAAAGCATGTTCCGCAATTGCAATTTTTCCCGCTGAGAGGAGCTGAGTGTAGTCTGGGACAGTAGACGGTGCCCCTTGAGAAGCTGTGCTGGGCTGAATCCGCATTCGAAGGGTGTTGAGCGATAGCTTAGCAGAGGGTGATAAGGGTCAGACCCTTTCACTAGTACAGACTTGACCGACTCTGACCGTATGCTCGGCAAGGTCGTTGCCCTGTGGATGCAGCGGACTGCTGGTGTAGGGATGTGTGCCATACTGCTGCAGGAAAGTTGCATACTGTACGCTCTGGACGGTGGATGGAGGAAATCTAGAACTCCAAAATAATGTTCTATTTCATTTTGATACGTGTAATGTCCGCCTTGCATATTCTGCTTATGACGACTTTAAAAATGCTCATACAGAGGCATGTACGTACACGATCATCAGGAACCCGCGTGGACCCAGTTACAATCTTACTCGGCATCAAAACTGCACACTGGTCTGGAAATGAGTAAATGCCTACTGGCTAACAAAGCAATATCGACAAGCAACTATGGCTGCCTTAAAAAAAAACAATTCTAAATAGTGGTCCCGGAGCTCTTAGCGCCTGAATTTCTCATATTATATTCTGGTCGGCTCCATAAGCTGGCATACAAAGTTCGTAACTTTGTCAGTAACTGTTTCTGACTGTAACTGTTAACTGTAAAGTGAGTAACTGTTACTGACTAGGCTCCCCCCCCCCCCACACATGTACTGACTAGTAAACAACTATATAGTCACAACTGTCGTAAAAGCAGAGACATGGACAAATGCTACCAAGAGATGCAGGCTTGTAGCCTTTTACCGACCGACTAAGGACCAGCCCTGCATCCTGGGAGGCCATTAGATCCGGGAAAACCTCTTTTCTATGGACCAATCCCCTGCCTGGTGTTGAAACATGCGTCGGGGTTTTCCAGTACTTGCTGGCAAACAGTTTTGTCAACAGAGTCCGAGTAGTCTACATCAGGTTGTCTCACCTGACACTGAGTTGTACATCATATCCAAGATACGTACTTTTCTTATGGATAACACATAGGAATGCCTGGTCATGTGTCTTACCTGTACACAGAGAGGTGAACTTCCTGTTCATCGTGCTGCCAGGAGTAGACATCTGGAAGTCCTCAAGTATCTACTAGATCTCCAACCAGACATGATCTCGGTAAAGTGCCACGTAAGTTGAGAAATCTGTATCGTAGACTCCCTTTACTGTAGTCAGTCACTCTTACAGCACTCTTGAGGATCACTGTGCTAGCTGTATGTCTATTGGTGGGAGAATATCAAGCTGATACAACAGCAACCTCACCGATCGTTTGCTGCAAAAGTAGCTGTTGTTACCTGACCAGTCTTATAACCAACAATGCTACAGTCGCGTGAATGGCACTTAGAGTAATTAACAGGGAGTAGTAAGAACAGAGCAATGGCAAAAGGCACCAGTTGCCAGAAGCGTAAGATCAGACTGAGTAGCGAAAGTCTGAAACACCAGAAGGAGCCAAATCGCAATCCACACATGATGTCACATGCGCATGCGTGGGGCACACATTGAACACACGTGTACGTGAACGCAGTACACGTGACGTCTCCCTTTCTTTACAATAAGAGAGTGTCCGGGCCAATCAAATACATGTATATGGCGGCATAATAATTATGAGTCAAATGAAATAGCTCTATCTAATAAGAGCTGGCTTGAGCGAATGTAATGCAGCACGCACATACATAATGAAACGACTCACAAAGGCAGAAGAGAATAGAGACAGCCGGCTAGGTCATTGTTGTAACACTGCGTTTCATGCACATAGCAAAGCTACGGCAATCCTCAGATAACTGATACCCTGCACATGCATGTTGAAACATGCGTTGGGGTTTTCCAGTACTTGCTGGCAAACAGTTTTGTCAACTGACTCCGAGTAGTCTATATCAGGTTGCCTCACCTGACAGTGAGTTGTACATCATATCCAAGATATGTACTTTTCTGATGGATAACACATAGGAATGCCTGGTCATGTCTCTTACCTGTACACAGAATGGCGACCTTCCTGTTCATCGTGCTGTCGCCAATGGACATCTGGAAGTCATCAAGTATCTACTAGATCTCCAACCAGACACGATCTCTGTAAAGAACAACGTAAGTTGAGAAATCTGTATCGTAGACTCCCTTTACTGTAGTCAGTCACTCTTACAGCACTCTTGAGGATCACTGTGCTAGCTGTATGTCTATTGGTGGGAGAATATCAAGCTGATACAACAGCAACCTCACCGATCGTTTGCTGCAAAAGTAGCTGTTGTTACGTGACCAGTCTTATAACCAACAATGCTACAGTCGCGTGAATGGCACTTAGAGTAATAGCAGGGAGTAGTAAGAACAGAGCAATGGCAAAAAGCGCCAGTTGCGTGAAGCGTAATAGCAGACTGAGTAGCGAAAGTCTGAAACTCCAGAAGGAGCCAAAACGCAATCCACACATGATGTCACATGCGCATGCGTGGGGCACACATTGAACACACGTGTACGTGAACGCAGTACACGTGACATCTCCCTTTCTTTATAATAAGAGAGTGTCCGGGCCAATCAAATACATGTATATGGCGGCATAATAAGATTCAAATGAAATAGCTCTATCTAATAAGAGCTGGCTTGAGCGTATGTAATGCAGCACGCACATACATAATGAAACGACTCAACAAGGCAGAAGAGAATAGAGACAGCCGGCTAGGTCATTGTTGTAACACTGCGTTTCATGCACATAGCAAAGCTAAGACAATCCTCAAACAACTGATACCCTGCACATCATCTGGGTCCAAATTTATACCCAGGCAGGTAGCTAAAACCGGGCCTCCAAAGTGAGTGAAGCGCGAAAAAGCACGAAAAAGCAGGTGGCATAGCGTGCAAAGGTGGCAAAAGCGCGACATTAGTGTGACATTTCAAGTGATACGTTAGTTAGGGAGATATGATGCGGATGGTGTCGGTTATTACATGGGAGGTGATAAAAGGAGGGGTGACAGTCAAGTAACGCAATAGTTATAGTGACGGTGGGTAGGCAGGCAGGCCCCGGCCTGGGCCTGGTGGCGGCAGGCAGGTGCCGGCGGCGGCATGCAGGTGACTAAGTGACGCCAGTGCAGTTGCGCGAGAGGTAGAACTTATTCTGGTATCGACATTTTGATACTAATTCTGATTTTTTGTTGAGGAGCGTGGCTGTGTCAGCGCGGATGATTTTGACCTTCTCCGCTTAGCACAGGCCGCATGTTTTTGAGATGTTGCTGTAGGTCTTTGCTCTGTCGACGATGGACCATCTGATGTCGTACTCTTCACCCTGGTCCCGCAGCTGCGTGCTTTTGCGGTACTTTTCGTATCTCATAGTCGTGAGGTGGTTGCTATAGCGTGTCTTGAACGGTGTCTCGCAAAGCCCGAATAACCGCCTCTCGTCACCTGGGCAAGAGGGTTTAGCTCGGCAGTTGCATTCCTCTGCTGGTTTTCGCACGTCGGCTGGGGCCGTCACTTTCTGGTTGTGCCCCTTGATTATGCAGGCCATTTTGGGCATACACGAGTAGCTGACCTTGACCGTATTTTTGTTGAAAATTTTACAAAGAGGTGACGATGCCGGGAAGTGCTTTCGAACCAGCGTCAGGAACCTCTGGCCGATACTGATAGACACGGATTTGTTGAATGGCGGGTTGTACCAAATTATGTTTCTCTTTCTTTCTCGGCTCTTCTTTGCCTGGCCACCGTTGTTGAATGTTAGTGCGGCCAGGAATCTGGTGGCTGATAGTGCTTCCCTGTAGGCCAGTGCAGCATTGCTGAAGGCCTCTTGGTCGCACGAAATGCTCGACATTCGCTTTTGGATCATTGCCGGCAATTTCTGTATGATTGTCGGAGGGTGGTTCGACTCGGTGTTGATGTATCTCGGTGCGTCGTTCGGTTTTCGGTACGGCTCGTAGCGGCCACTTGCGAGGTTGAAGGTAACGTCAAGGAAGTTGACCGTTCTCTGGTTTGTGCTGATTGTGATTCTCAACCCGGAGTCTCTGAACAGCTTCGTGATGGCTTTGCGGATGGAGTCTGCCTCGTGTGCCGTCATGTTCTTGAATACTGCGAGGCAAGCGTCGCGGTACAGGCCTATGCTGGCGGGGCCGAACATATCTGCAAGACGCTTCAGCAGGAACGCCCCTACAAGTTGGCACACTTCCGCGCCATCATAGCTCCCCATGGTGACGGCTAATAAGCCTACTCTGTCCTTCTTGGCCCATACCTTGTGAAGAGAAGAGTACGACATCAGATGGTCCATCGTCGACAGAGCAAAGACCTACAGCAACATCTCAAAAACATGCGGCCTGTGCTTAGCGGAGAAGGTCAAAATCATCCGCGCTGACGCAGCCACGCTCCTCAACAAAAACTCAGAATTAGTATCAAAATGTCGACACCAGAATAAGTTCTACCTCTCGCGCTACTGCACTGGTGTCACTTAGTCACCTGCATGCCGCCGCCGGCACCTTCCTGCCGCCACCAGGTACAGGCCAGGGCCTGCCTGCCTGCCCTCCGTGACTATGACTAACGTGTTATTTGACTGTCACCCCTCCACCTCTCCCTCCTTTTATCACCTCCCAAGTAATAACCGACACCATCCGCACCATATCTCTCTAACTAATGTATCACTTGAAATGTCACACTAATGTCGCGCTTTTGCCACCTTTGCGCGCTATGCCACCTGTTTTTTCGTGCTTTTTCGCGCTTCACTCACTTTGCGCGCCCGGTTTTAGCTACCTGCCTGGGTATAAATTTGGACCCAGATGATGTACAGGTTATCAGTTGTCTGAGGATTGCCTTAGCTTTGCTATTTGCATGAAACACAGCATTACAACAGTGACCTAGCCGGCTGTCTCTGTTCTCTTCTGCCTTTTGTGGTAATGCTCCATCCTTGTGGTGTTGAGCACTCTAGGCAATCTGGGAACTTTCGCTATTGTAATGAACCGACTTATAAACAGCCACTACAGATCAACAGGAGTGCATGATGAGTCGCTTAGAGTCCCTGACCAGTCTTCCAGATCGCATTGTCTGGCTGTCAGTGCGGGCACCTTGGGACTGTGGCGACCGTTGCACCATCACCGGGATCTTTGATGGTGTGGTTTTGGGGACAGTCGATGACGGTCCAGGTAGCTTCGGGCTCGGTGGTCGGGATCATGCCTGGTCTTGGCCATCAGCTGCAGTCGGCGGTGGGTGTCGGTTAAACTGTCGATTCGGCTTCAGAACTCTTTCGTTGCAGTAGACTTCATAACCGCGGCTTGACGTCTTGTCGGTGATTACTGCAGGCTCCCATTCTCTCGACTTGCCGTTGATCAGTTGAAAGAAAACCTTTGTGCCAGACGTGCGTGGCGGAAGGTCTTTCCTTCGGTGGTCGAGATGCTCAGCTGCCTTCTGTCTTCTGATCTCCTTCTTCTGAATGTTGGCTGACATATCTGCTGCAGGGATGAGTCGATCATTCAGGGTTGGCAACACAGTTCTGGTTCGGCGACCAAAAAGCCGTTGCACGGGACTGGTGCTGAGACCTTCAGTGGGTGTGTTGCGGACATTCAGTAACCCGAAGTATGGGTCGGACTTCTCCTCGTTGCACTTTTTCATGAACTTCTTCGAATCTTTGACTGCAGCATCAGCAGCACGATTAGATTTGCTGCTGTCTGGGCTGCGGTGCACATGCAAGAATACGCACTTCGCGAAATGCTACTTGATATTGCTCATGTGTACCGGTACATTGCAGTTTAAAGGAGTTATGTACGTAGACTATCTATGCCTTCTGTAGTGTGATAGACCATTCTCAGTGCCAGAAGGTAATGGCATTATTTGGTAGTAGCAAGGTACATTCTCTTGGTGCCATTTTTCCATTGCAGGATGTTTGACTGAGTGAGTGTGTGTGTGTGTGTGTGTGTGTTTGTGTGTGTGTGTGTGTGTGTGTGTGTGCGTGCGTGCGTGCGTGCTTGCGTGCGTGCGTGCGTGCGTGCGTGCGTGCGTGCGTGCGTGCGTGCGTGCGTGCGTGCGAGCGTGCGTGCGTGCGTGCGTGCGTGCGTGCGTGCGTGCGTGCGTGCGTGCGTGTGTGAACTGCTGGTATGTTAGCAGGTTACAACATAATCAAGAAGTACCACTCACAAAACTACTGGCTCACAATATAACATTTAGATTATTTTAGTTCCTGGACAAGAACAACCCAAACTGAAAACATTCTCTTCTCTCTCGAAGAACCCTCTCTCTCTCGCGCGCAGGCGCAAAAAGGCAACCAAAGAAAAAGAGAAAAAAAAGAGAATATGACGGGATTAGAACCCGCGTGGGCATAATGCCAAAAAGAGTGTATTCCGGATATGTACCAATCTCTCTAAACTACCATTATAAAACACAGTGAATAAACAGCATAAATAAACATGTCATACATGTTACACCTCCCCCTCCATTGAAGAGGCCATGCAGACATGGCCGTCAAGATTATGACAACCAGAGACAACAAGAGAACACATAAATAACAGCAAATAAAAGTTAAGTGGAATGCTCTCAATATCCAACGAGCATGCATAGTCAGCATTATTATCGAGCAATGACTGCAAAGAAGAATGGTGTGACGGACTAACATTGTCAAAGTTGAATAGTTGATGCGGAGCAGTAGAAGCATTTACCTGACCACAAATAGCCTCGGGTGCCGTAGCGTCCGGTTGTGGTTCCTCTTCAATGTCGATGTCAGTGTCAAACGTGCCAAGGACCAGCCCTGCTTCCTGGGAGGCCATTAGATCCGGGAAAACCTCTTTTCTATGGACCAATCCCCTGCCTGGTGTTGAAACATGCGTTGGGGTTTTCCAGTACTTGCTGGCAAACAGTTTTGTCAACTGACTCCGAGTAGTCTATATCAGGTTGCCTCACCTGACAGTGAGTTGTACATCATAATACTTTTCTGATGGATAACACATAGGAATGCCTGGTCATGTGTCTTACCTGTACACAGTACGGCGACCTTCCTGTTCATCGTGCTGTCGCCAATGGACATCTGGAAGTCATCAAGTATCTACTAGATCTCCAACCAGACACGATCTCTGTAAAGAACAACGTAAGTTGAGAAATCTGTATCGTAGACTCCCTTTACTGTAGTCAGTCACTCTTACAGCACTTTTGAGGATCATTGTGCTAGCTGAATGTCTATTGGTGGGAGAATATCAAGCTGATACAACAGCAACCTCACCGATCGTTTGCTGCAAAAGTAGCTGTTGTTATCTGACCTGTCTTTTAACCAACAATGCTACAGTCGCGTGAATGGCACTTAGAGTAATAGCCGGGAGTAGTAAGAACAGAGCAATGG